CCCTTCCTATCTCTAGTCTACTAATGCAACACTTGTGCATTAATTTTAAGGTTCCTAGGATACTACCCCTAGGAAACCTCTTTATTCTGTGTCTATCTCTCTATTAGAACCTAGTTTAGACTCTATATTAGCTAAGATAGCACCTAGACTATCCTTCTTTGCTAGCTTCTAGATAACTAGTGCAGCAGGGATTAGAGCAGGTGCAGGAGCAGGGATAGGAGCTAGGACTAATTTAGATTCCTTCTTATAAAACGCCTTTATCTTAGCCTATACTAAAAAGGTTACCTCCTAATTTAGCGCTAATTCCTCCTTAAGTTCTTTAATAGCCCTTATTAAGCCCCTAACTACTAAGACTATCTTATAGATACTATTCTAAAGCTAATATAAATTAGATATAGTAGTATAATATATAGCTATAAGGATCTTAGTAGCTTCTATACCCTTAGTCTAAGTATTAGTAATAGTAACGCACTTAGTAAGGTTTTAGGTAGTTTCTTAAATAGTAGCCTTAAACTGCTTAATATCCTTCTAATAAGTAACTATAGCCTTATTATCCTTATCCCCTTTAGTAGGGTTTCCTATTAAGCTATAGTACTCTTCTAGGGCACCCCTAAGGGCAGAGTACTCTTAGCTAATAAAAGAAGGAATCTACTAGGATTAGTAAAGGAACCTTATTAGACTTAGATACTTACTAGATTATAATACTTATTCTAGGAGATATAGTACTAGTACTTCTTAGAATTCTTTAACTTAAAATTAAAATTATTAAACCTACCCCTAGCTAGAGCCCTAACTACTCTTATATAGAGAGCGCAATAAGCAATAGGGAGGACTTCTAGTAGTACTAGTACTAGTATAGCTAAAGGTTCTAATTTAGATTAGTAACTATTTAATTATATAGATTAAATACTTACTAGATTTTAGATAGATTAGGTTAAATATTTAAAAAATTAGGGATATAGGAATAAGAAAGTTAGTAGGTAGAGGGCTAGTTATATACAGGCTAGGGATAGGGGTCTGTGCCCTAGGAAGAAGAAGTAAAAGTAAAGGTAGAGGTAAAGGTAGAATTATTTTGCAAAAAGCTCTTCTTTAATAAGGGATCTAAACCTAATCCTAAGGATAGGGACTATCCTTTCTCTATAGGAGGGGGTAGTGTAATAATAAGGTAGAATTACCTGCCTATTATTCTATGCTAAGTTAGGCCTAATAAAGGCCTAACTTACTAATATATATAGAGAATAGCTCGCCTATAGTTAGGATAGGTATATTCTTCTTGTCCTTTTATACAAGACCTATAGGTGTAGGAATCTTATCCTTTTCTATATAGACGCGCACTCCTATATGCCTTTAAGTTATATAGGATACCTTTTAGATGCCCTACCTACCTAAGTTGTTATAGCATAGAGCAATACCTTTAAGGAAAAGCTAATATTAATAGCTTTTAAAGTAATAGGTATCTTACTACTTAACCCTAATATTATCCTTTTAAGGTTTAAAGCACCTATAAATAATAGTAACTAGCCTTCTTTAAGTAATAGTATAACCTTAATATTAAGTATAAGCAATTAAAGAAAGATAGAGTAGTTACTCTATAATACTATAATTAATATCTATAATAAATAATTAAAGAAGCTTAGCTAGATAATCTATACTATATTAGTAAGAAATACTCTACTTAACTATAAAAATAAACACCTAAGGGCTGCCCTAGCTAATAAGAAGAAGTGTAGGAAGCGTAGTAAACCTCTATTATTACCCCCTAATAATAATTATAGTAGTAGTGCCTAATTTATTTTACTATTAAAGGTAGAGTAAGTATTTAAGCTCTAGGAGCAAAAAAACCTTAAAGAATAGGAGCTATAATACTAAAAAAGTAAGGTAATTAAGCTTTATAAGGAATAGAAGCTTAGTAAAGCTTAACTTATAGAGGAGTGTTACCTAAATTAAGTAATTACTAAGAAAAAGTAGGAGAAGAAAGCTACCTAAAAAGCTACTACACGTAATAAGTAGAAAACTACTAAGTAACTAGAAAAGTAACTCTAAAATAATATTAAAACGTCCTAAATAGGTAAGAGGTAAATCCTTAAGCCTCCTACTATTATACTAGCTAAGGTGGTTAATAAGGAGCTAGTAGAAGAGGATATAGTAGTGGAGGTAACTTTATAGTATAGGCGCCTAATTAGACCCCCTAAAAAGCTGCTTATATAATCTAAAATATTTAATCTACTCTAATAGATCTAATAATCGCGACTCTAAGAAATCTCGTAATAATAGCTATTGTGGGTGGCGCAATATCCTTATTTAGTGGGTGGTGGATTTTGGTGTTGGTGGGCGCTCGGTGGGGGTGGGCGCTCGGTGGTGGATCACGTTACTTGCAGACCTGAGCACAGCTCAAAGATCCCCTTGGCTTCTCTGTAACAAGGCCGATCTTTGGTGATCTTTGACCTATAATATAACAAAAATAACCACGCACTAACCAAGCTCTAAGCACCCACGAAAGTAGACACAACATGATGTGCAAAAGTCCAATATGCCATATCTTATTTCTAGCTGCAGGGAAATAATCATATGGTAGTAGCAATATCTCTCCTCTAATCCTGTAAACTTCCACGTGGTGCTTGGGAAACATAGGAGGAAAAATTATTGTTTCGATTGCATGGAGTGTGAGCGATTTAGAAACACTGATATAGTAAGTGTAACGAGTGCAACCCTCGTTCTATCTCAGACCAGAGCATCCAAAGGCGGCAGCCTCACAGCCTATACGGCCCCGACTCAGGTCCAAGTATCCTAGCCTACCCCTCTGCCTCCACTATATAAAAGGAGCCTTACGCTTATAGATAGGTGGGCAATTTCTTCTTGTCCTTTCGTACAAGACCTATAGGTGTAGGAATTAATTCGTTCAATCTCCATACAGACGCGCACTCCCATATGCCTTTGAGTCGTATCGGACCCCTTTCGGACGTTCCTACCTACCTGTGTCTTTACAGTAAGCTGCAATAACTAACTGCCATTAAAGAGTAGGTCTTCCGAGCCAAGTTTCACGACAGCATAAGACTATATTTGGAGTAGCAAATTAGGTTGTCTCCACTTTGTTCTAGAGTTTTTTAGTAAATTAACCACTAGGCCTAATAGGGTAATCTTTAGTGCATTTTGTAGAGCTAAGCGAGCGCATTCTATCATGTTTTCTGCCCGCGCACATCCGGTTCTAGAGATGTGTTTGGCCAAAGAGGATTGCTATATAATATCATTCCCTGCTTGGGTGCTTTGCGTAAAAAATATTGGTGAGGAGAAAGCAGAGTGACGGCCTGCGGAACAGTACTTTTTACTATTGCTGTATCGTGAATGCCATGGTCACGTGTGGCTCTTGAATGGGCTTAGCCTCTTGGCGGTACTTGCCCATAGATAGCTCCCATCCTCCTAGACTAGGACATGATGATCACATTACACACTACATTTGGGCCCTCCTCATCGTCGGATACTGCAACTATAATTAGAGCCATCTTGACTGGTAAAAAACCGTATTATGGCCGCGATCGAGCCATATAGCTGCTAAAGATATTGAATTTGTACATGGCTACCTAACTATACATCGTATAGTTAATCTAGACAGCAAAGCAAGAGCCCTATTTGAAAATGGCTCACCTTCATATGAAAATCAGGTCGTTTGCCTATTTTTCTTCCTGGGACTTTTGCATACCAAACTAGAGATTCAATAGAATCTATGTGCTGAAACCATGAACCTGTTTATGCGATGCAGCCATTTATTCGGCGTAAAATTTATTTCGTTTTGCATTGTAAGAGCATAAAGGATACATGTTTATGTTAGGTGTATGTATTAACGAAAGATTTAAGATAATTTTAGATAGCTTAGACTGCATGTCAACAAAGCTATAGTAGAGTTACTATCACTGGAATACCAATATGCATAGCAATACGCGTCCACTTACAAGATAACTATAAAGCAAAGATGTATAGAGGTATAGAGTCTAATAGGCGCTGTTTAACTAGATTATTCGAAATACCATACCGTTTCTTCACAGACTACGTATCTTTCTCGTCACACAGTAAGGTGGGAGGCAAATAGCCTAGGAAAGGAATTAAAGGATATCATGTAAACCTATTCAAGAATCAATAAAAATTTACAAGAAGATACTTCGCGGGTTCTTTTGCGTTGCATTTAAAACTTCCCTGTTAGGTGTAATTACGCTGCCTTGGTCCCTCTTAACGAGTCGCATCGAATCTTTGCACATTACTTTGCGTTGTTGTTTACTGCTGTAGATCAAGATTATTCCAAGAAGAGTGGTGTCGGGAGTCTTATGTACATTATGAGCCTGAATCTGATATGTAAATATCTAAAGATACAATTATTGCATGTTTTTGAATCTATAGAGGGTTTTTATGTTGTGGTATTGTCCTAGTACTAATTTTGATTGAGCCAAGAGTACCTAGCCATCACTTTGATTATCGGAACCCTCGCCAATCGGCGTTGATATAGAGACTAGTAATCTAAACAGACTTGTCAAACATCCTATACAACCCGTAGAATTCATCATTGGACTTGCTTCCACGATTCAAGATCTTCTGGCACATCTGTGGGTTGATGTGTTGTGTAACTCTTATTGAGTCTTTAGTCATGATACTGTGGTCCACAGTTGAGTATAGCACTTTGCACGCCGTGTTGCATCTTTGCTAATTTTTTTGAATACTACCGAGTCTAACCGGACCCATGCGGTACATAGTATCCATCGCGTTTAGCATGCAAAGGTCCTGTTGTATAGCTTACGTACCTAAAATAGGATGGTTCTAGTCCGTGTCGAGGCGTTCTGGAAAGAGAAAACGGCGATGAGCGAGCAGGGCCATGGCTGCCATGGGCCGATCGCCAAAAGCTCATTCTGTTCGGTGAGCAGGCCTGTCGAAATCTTCGAAAAGAGGCAATAATATATACCGCTGGTAGCCGTAAGTTCAAGTAGACTCGGTCCTATTGGCGCCCAGGTACCACAATGATGGCGATAACGCTCAAGGAGACAGCAATGAATGGTGGTACACTTCACTGTGTGTTCGATGGCAACGTTTTGGCTATCTTTTGGTTACTATAACTCCTAGCAGGCCTTGATTTGTGTAATCGCGAACTGCAGGATATGAGTTCTCGTCAGCCTGTCGAGAGCCTGAATGGGCTTTTTGAAATCAATTCCACTGGCCATACCGTGCTTTTAGCTGTGCTCGACGAGCTTAATGTCCTACGCGGGACCGATCATTCTAGTGCGAAGCAGTATAGCGCTTACCTAACTGGCGATTTGCGACACTGGATGAGATCTATGTCTCTGATAACAGATTTAATCCCTCGTCAGGATGCCCAGGGATGGCTTGAATGTGAGCTGCAACCATTATGGCCGTGATCGGCATCGAAGAAAAGTAAATTTAGGTGATTGCGTGTCAAGAGTGAATGATGAACACGTTGCTCGATGGCTCTTGTGGAATTTGAGTTGAAGCATGATACCTACACGCCGAGAATGTAGCGCTATTATACTGGAATTTCACGCAATTTTGCTATCCCATCAAACAAGCCCACGAAGGATAGAAGTGTTCACTTTTGCCCCATTTCTGAGTGCAATAGAGTTACTTGTGATACACTACGACGATGTTCTATACAACAGGGTAACATTGGTTCTACGGTCAGATTGTATAGAAGAGCCCCCGTCGACGATTCAAAGTATGTTTCCCCTTCTGAAACGCTGTAGATATCACGCCGCATTCTGCTTACATAGTAGCAGCAAATTGAAACTGTTGAAATCGGCCTTCTTTAGTCTTTCATATAATGTGGTGGTCATGGGGGACTCCAGTATTGAGAAGAATTACAGCGTGTCCGTGGAGGCTACCGCATTGACTGGGGTTGAGGTCGGAAACTGCTTCCACCGTCACCTCCAATACGCGCAAGAAATGTTTCTACGCAGAACCTTTTGGGAAAGCACGAGCCATAACGTGTAGGCAGGTACACTGCTATGCCATTTTGTCATTCTGCAATGCTACTATTGTCGCCACTTTTGTTACCGGTATTGATGATCTCGTCTTCACTTGGTCGTCGCTTGGATTCGGTAAGCAAGGCAGATGCATGATACACGACTTTCTCTACAATTATCGCCATTGACCTAAAGGCAAGATGCTTGAGTTTTGTAACTGTAACTCCAGGCTTGCTTCCTTGTGGATCCAGACCAATTTCCATAATCTCATTTGCTTCTTCACCTCTGAATATACTCACTGAATGCCTGAAAGACGACCTCACCTGGGAACGTCTGGTCCACTATCTCTATTTTAACTTCTAGCCTTCACCTTGTGTGTTTGTCCCGACCTGGCTGTCTCTCTTAAGTCCCCAATATAAGTTATATAACTATAGCCATCCTTTCATCTCTGTTTACAACCTCACATCAGTTCAAATCCGCTTCAGCGAATAAGCCGAAGCTACGCTTGACAATTCTCCTCTATACGCTGTCCTACTGACTCCAGTCCAGAAGAATGGGTGGACAGGCCTTCAAGAACCTCAATTGCCCGCGCATGGCGCCAGCTGCCTACCACAGCATCAAGATGCACGCCACCACTGCACTGAAGACAGTCTTTCCGCACGTTGTCGTGCCCACGGAGATGCCAGAAAAGCCGGACTTTGGAGACGTCGACTTTCTCGTCTCTCCAGCCAAGAGCACCACGATGGACAAATTTGACTGGATCACTACCGTCGAATCCATCAAAGCCATTTTCGGAACGACTCACGGCCGTCGCGGTTTCCTGACCCCAGACTGCATGTACTTTGCTATTGCTGCAGATGAGGATCATGACTCTTGGGTCCAGATTGACGTCAAGGTGTGTTTCAAGCCCGAGCTGTTCACCTGGTGTGCATTCGAACATAATTATGCAAGTCACAGCAAGGTCATTGGAAGTTTGGTCAAGCCCTTGGGCCTCACGCTCGATCCTGAAGGCATCCACATCCGCGTCGAGGAAATGGAAGACACGAATTTCCCAGGCAGCATGGTTTGGATCAACAAGGATCCCAAGGACATGTTGAGGATTGTCGGGCTGGACAGACGACTGCTTGATGCAGGCTTCACTACAAGAACTGAGAGTAAGTAGGCACTGATAGACTCTGTCCTGTCTTGGTCAAACTGACGATTTGTGTCAATTAGTCTACAAAGCCTTTACAAGTTCCTGGTTATTCAACCCAGCGCACTTCGTTGCCCGTCTAACCGATAAGAAGTATTCTCAACGTCTAGAAGATCGCGCACCACACTGGATGCCCTTTCTTACAGAGTGGCTGCCGACGCTTCATCCCGGTTCTCACGACTCTGCTGATCATGGGGAAGAGCTTGAGACATGGTACAAGCGCACACGCGCTGCCGTCCGAGACAAGGTCTTTACCATGTTTCCACCCATCGCAGCGCAGTACTATAACAAACGGGCCATCCACATCAAGGAAGCGGAAGAGCTCAGGCTCCGCAAAATAATCACCGCAGCCATACCAGTCGGTACGAACGGGTGGAAAGACGATCTCCCTCAGCCATTGATCCTAATCAAACAGCAAGAGCCCTCGATGTCTCTGCCACAAACAGATGCGCTCGGAGAGCCCACTCCCCCTATGACGCCTACAACGTCCAACGATGATCCATTCAACCACACCACACATCCAGTAAACGTTGGACGAGACTACACTCCACCCCTAAGCCCAACTCCTCACTCTCACTCCCTCCCTCCCTACCCCCCAACCCCACTCCTACTCCTCGACCCCCTTCCGCGCTCCCCCCCACACCCATACCTTCCCCGCCCCCCACCCGCCACAATGTCACCCTCTGCCAAACTCCTCTGCCTCGCCCGCTGGACTGCCTTCGACCCGCAAACAGGGCATCCGTATCTCCTCTCCGCGCCCCACCCCAAGGACTTCACCATGCATTGGGCAGATGCGGCGTACGCAGGCGCTAGCGACGAGCTCCTCGTACACTGGACTAGCAGTATGTGGTGGTATGTTTGGAGTAGGCAGGCGAATGTGAATTTTGTAGGGATGTGGAAGAAGAGGTTTGAGAAGGAGGATAAGAGGGCGCAGGAGATGGGAGGGCAGGGAGAGGGGGAGAAGGTAGGTGCGGCGGCAGAGGAGAAGATGGGGGCGAGGTTGGTAAGGTTGAATAGGAGTTTGATGGGGGATGTTGAAGCCGGTAATTTGAAGGGCAGGTTTTGATACTGTACTGGTAAAGGCCAAGGAGTCAATCGGGATTCGAGGTTTACATATGGTTGAAGAGTTTTCAAGCGCTAGGTGGAATTTGATGCATGCACACGGTATATGGTACAGCAGTGTGAAAGACACCGCTGAGCCATACACATGCCGTTGCAATGTCTCTAGATTCCAGGGCATACCTTTCTCATCCAAGATATTGCATGTTCAAGTTTGGGATCACAAAAGGGTTAACCGTTCAGCGGCTACGATTGGGTTAATAGCTATTGCGCATACCCTCACACGATACACATACATCCAGCAATCTGCAAGCGAGGAATCAAGAATTACATAAGCTCTGATTCTATACTTCTTTCTGTGCGTACACCGAATGTGTGATCCTCGTGGACTACACCACAATTTTAGCACACGATGATGCGGTGTTGGACCCATGCATTGGTCTAGGTGTATTACACTAGCTTTTCAGAGATGATTCGGGTGGTTGGAACGCTGTGTGATGAATCTTGACCACTCGCACACACACATGTCAGTGTTGTGGTTTGGAAGCGGGGTTGTGACTTTGGATTCGGTAGAGGTTAAAGAAAGTTGCGAAGGTATGTGAAGGTATCGGGTGTTGATGATAAACCAGTCTTGGAAAAGACTTTTTAGCAACCCGCTCCAGCGCAGCCGAACGACTGCATGATCCTTTTCTATCAGCCCTCCCCTCACAACTCCACCACCACTCACAACATCCCCCTCGCCATCTTCCATCCCGCCGCCCAATGCCACAACCTCGCATCTACCGTCTTCCCCTCCCCATCATACTTCACCAACCGATCAAACAGCTCATCCACCGGCACAACCACCTTCTCAATAAACTCCCCCGCCTCTAATTTCTGCTCGGGCTCCTCATCCCCCTCCTGAAGCTGCACCTCCACCACCGCAAGCTGCATATTCGCCGTGCTCAGGCCAGGATCACTCACAATCGTCGGTGAAATAAACTTGAGCTTGCCTTGATACCCCGTCTCCTCGTGCAACTCCCTCACACTCGCCTCGCTGGGGGATTCGCCCTCGTCGACCAGGCCGGCGGGGAGTTCCACGCAGACCGCGTCGACGGGGGGCCGGTACTGCAGGATGATGATGGTGGAGGGGGCGCGTGAGGGGTGCTTGATGATTGTGACAATGGCTACTGCGTCGACGCCAGAGGAGCCTCGTGTCTTGCGCGCTGCGGCTTCCCAAACTCGCGGCTTGCCAGTTTGGTCTTGCCACGAGATCTTTCTGAATTCTATCCATTTTGCTTCTGTGGCGGGGAGTTCCTCGACTTTGATGATTTTGGGCGGCTGCGGCATGTTGTATGCTGCTAGGAGGCGGTGGTGGGACAGCAAGGTGCGAGTCTGAGTTTGGGTTGCTCGCAGGAAGCTTGGTAGGGGAGTAGTGAAGGCTGAATGACGGCGGCTTGTGCAGAGCTGGAATGGTTGTTTGATCATTGGTGAGGGTTGGAAGGAGATGCATGTGTTGTGCCAGTGTACGCCCAAGGAGGTGGCGTAGAAGTAGTAAATTGGGAGCTAGCTTCCCCGCGTGCATCCTCGCGCTGTTCACGCCCCAGTACGATTTCGCGTTTTCACGTGTGCAAAGAGAAACGGGCAAAAGTCATCATAGAATGTATGATCTCCATATCCATGTCCGAGGTAACCCCAGAGGCGCCGATGATAGACGACACGAATACGCGAAATACATCGTGTTATCCACGAATTTGCAACCCGGTACGCTTGAATGATGCGCCCAAAAACTGGCAGTCCAACGCCAGTGTCATGGATCCATATCATCAAATGTACTCTACATGACCGTGCAATTCTCCTCTTGCTGCTTCTGATTTGTCCGACTAAGACGCTCACGCTTCATCTGTGCCTTCGAGCCCCCCTTCTTCAGCTCCTCAAGTCGTTCCTGCGCCTTGGGAAATTTAAAAGCAGCTGCTCTTCCATACCATTGTTTGGCCTCTGACAGACTGCTCGGACACCCTATACCCACTTCTGTAAAATAGCCCATGGCGAACAGTGCTTTGGGCAGCGGAGGTTCTGCACACGCTGCTTTGCGCGCCCACAGGTACGCTTCTGTGTCGCTTTGCTCGAGGATGCCCGATGTTCCAGTGAGATACCAGCCAGAAAGTGCAAGCTCACTTTGATGTTCCCCTTGCGCAGCCGCCTTCGTGTACCAGGCGATGCTTGTGCGCGCATCGATTGGACAGCCCAGCAAGCCATACTCGTACGCCTGTCCAAGACGAAACTGAGAGAATTTGTAGCCCAGCTCCGCAGCTTGGTGGAAGAGCTGCAGTGCATATGCTTCATCACTGATGATGCGTTCGTTGCCAGTTGGCGCTTCGTAAATGAGAGCTAGCTCATGAAGTGCATGCGGATTGTCCCGATCAGCCCGGTCTGCAGCTCGCTTGAGCATGTTGATAGCTTCGCCGACGTTCTTCTGTTGACCAAGAAGTCCCTTGAGGAGTATCATACCCATCTTGTATAGCGCTGGTGCGTCACCAAGAGCGGCTGCACGTCGATACCATTGCACTGCCTTGAGCGGATCTTTCTTTGTTCCACCGCCTTCTTCATGGCCCATCTCGCAACACACAGCGGTTCGGTATGCACTTGCAGCATGACCTGCCTTTGCAGCCGATTGATAGAGCATGAATGCCTCTTTGGTATCGACCTGCAAGCCGAGAAGCCCCTGGCCATAGCAATCCGCAAGATAAAACATGGCGTCAGGGGAACCCATATTGACGAGCTTCTTGACGATCTTATGGGCCTCGAGGTTGAATTTCTCACGGTTCTTGTTCCTCGTCCGCGTGTCTGCTGTACCGCCTTCATCGGCCAGCACATTAGACGCTTCAGCAAGCTTCTTGGCGAGCTTGATACCAGTGGCTATGTCGGATGGGTTAGACTTGAAGGCATTGCGGAGCCGGTTCAGTTCGTCATAAGTTACAGGGTGTGGCGCCTCGCTTTCTCGCCGCACTATCGACTTCTGACTTTCAAGACTGCCCCGCCCCGCTTCACTGTTATACTGTCGCACAGGCGGTGGTCGGACACCCTGAGCCGCTTGAGGCGGTCTCATTTGCTGCTGCTGATTTTGCTGCATTAGTCCAGGCCGGATCGGTGTGGGATGCGGTGGCAGCGCATCGGGATTTGGCGGTGCATGAGTGGGACGACCTGTCATCGGCCCCGCTGTGCCTGGCCGAGGAATAGGATGCCCAGGCATAACAGGTGAGGCTACGTTGCGCATAGTATGGGGCGGTGGTTCTGAGAAAGCAGATTCATCCGAATACGTTCGATGCACCGGTGGTGGTTGGCGCGCATGTCTTGGATCGAAGTTCTGTGGCTGGCCTTGCGCATAGCCCTGCTGTGGTGGTCCACGATACATGCCGTCTCCTGACGTTCGCCTGTGCGGTGGCCCTTGACCACCAGCTCGCGGTCCACTTGGCAGTCCAGCTGGAGCTGCAAAACCTGTGTTTGCCCTTGATGGTCTAGGAACAGGTGGTACATCCACGGGCATCTCGTAAACACCATTTGTGTACCCGCCATGCAGGTCTGGCTGTGAGCGGCTTCGCGAAGCTTGTCTCTGGAATGCATTGTTCGGGCCCGGATGTGAAGCTACCCCTCCTACCATTTTTGAATCTCCTGGCACTTGAGAACCTCCAGGTAGCGGTGGTCTGGTATTTGGCGAAAGGTGGTTCTCTATCGAATCGCCCCTTCGATGTTTATTACCCGTGTCGGGTATGGCATCAAAGTTTGGCATATCTATTTCAGTCGCCAAGCTCTTGCGGTCGTTGCCATCGTCATAGTAATCATCATATAGGTTGTTCAAATGGCCGTGGTGGTCTTCAACAGGTTCCTGGTAATTTTGGGCAGGTGGCTGATATTGTGGCTGATATTGCTGTTGTGTAGGCGGTACCCGTGGCATAGGAGGTCTTTGGCTTTGTTGCATTTGAGGATTCTCGTGCCTTGTTCCGCCTGCGGTTGAAGGTCGCGGAGGAATAAATGCAGGTGATTCAGGGCCGTGATACCCATCTACAACGCCCGGCTCAGCCCATTGCTCTCGAGTCTTGTGTACTGTTCCTTGCCCGCCACTCTGCTGACTGTGTGGCATTGTCAAAGAGCGCTGAGAATTTGGTCCAAAGGCTCGCTGTGAGGGTGAGGTGGGGTCAGAATATCTATGTGCTCCTGGTGCTCGAGTGTTGTGTAGAGGCATTGGAGGTGGACGCTGCCCAGACGGGGCCTGGTTAGATGGATGCCTCTGATTGGGGGCGCTGCCCTCAAAATGTCCTGAGTCTTGTCGCAGGCTGTTATCTGGCCTATCTTGCGGTTGACCTCGGTGTTGCACCTCCTGCGTCGGTGGACCTCGATTGTTGGAAGCTCCCCGTGGTCTATTCTGAGAACCTCCGCCATTCATATTCATCTGCGCCATGTTCTTGGTCATCGCCTCCACTGGCATTGCTGCTGGGCCTGGCTTTTTGGGCTTTTGCGCAGGGAATGTTGGAAACGGATTGTCTTGAGGCATGGCCTTGGGCCGCACAGGGTTCAAGAGGGAGCGATCGAGTCCTTTGGCATTCCATTAGCGTAAATAAACAAGATGCAAAACTTGACACTGGCTTCAGCTCTGTCTTGTGCGGTGACTTACCCGGCGGTCTCTGTACTCCCCTGCGGCCTTGCTGAGGATTCGGCGGCTGTCCATTTCCACGTCCCTGGCTTGGGGGTGACCGAAGCCCTGGATCTGCAGGTCTGGTTCTGGGATCCTGCCGATGCTGTGGAGGCGACCGGGGCTGGCGCTCACTGTGAAAGTGCTCCTGGGCGTATGGTTGTTCCTGAGGGGGTGGCCTTCGTCCTTGTCCTTGTCCCCGTCCTTGAGGCTGTGGAGCCGGCCTACCATAGCCAGAAGCGTCTTGGTAGCCACCTTGTTGCTGAGCATGGCCCCATCCGTCATGCTGGTCATAATAGCCGTTGTCCCATTGCCCATTCGAACCTTGGTCATAGCCATTGTCATAGTACTGAGGATCGTACTGGTTGCCTTGGCCCGGATGCTGCTGTGGGTGTGGCTGGTGTCCGTGGTATTGCTGGTGTCCTCCCTGGTGTCCGTGCTGTTCGTGATATCCACCATGGTCGTCATAGCCTTGGTAGTCCTCGTAGCGTTCATAATTCTGCTGGGGCTGCTGTACATATTGCGGCCGTGGCTGTCCGCGTTGTCTTGGCTGTACCTGCTGCTGCCCCGGCTGTGTCTGCCAGTGCTCGTGATGCTGCGGCTGGCGCGACTGCGGGTAATTATCGTACTGCTGCTGATGGGCCATGGTCGCGGCCTCGTCGGCAAAAGCCACGCGAAGCTGTAGTTGTGGAGATACTGAGGCTAGCGAGATCTGAAGCCGTTTCGCGTGCCAGTGGATGGCTCACGGCTTATACTTAAGGGGCGCGGGCATGCAGCCTTTCAAAGGCGGGCGCAGTCTCCACGACCGTAAATAACACGGCGACAGTCGACGTGGGTATGCTGTAATGTCGGATGTTCGGTGGTCCTTGGCAGGGGTGGCACGAAACTACTGTAGTCCCTACCCTTACGGTGACACAAAGGGTTACTTAAAAAGACCGCCAGGTGTGACATAAAGTGGGAAGTGGGTTCGTTGTTCCAGCAGATGCAGCAGCTTATGAGGGTACAGGTGCGCCCCGGAAAAGAGGATAATGCAAGAAGCTTCAAGGACCTGCGTCTCTACAGCGTCTAGTCAGGAGTCTGAAGTCCAAAACACGCGACTGACCCTAGGTTTCAATTTGGAATAATTGTGGTGCGCGGCACAATTGCAATCTCGAAACCTGACCGCGTGAATTGGACAAAGGATACCGCGCTTCATTAGATGCCTTGAAGATGAAGAGGGTTTGCCAGAATCAGGACTTTGGGCGATGTTTGCCTGTACCGGTACCTATGAGAGCGCATCTGTCTGGAATTGCGCCACTTCATACCGTAAACCATTCGAGGACAACGAGTACGGGAAGCAGCCGATGCTTGGTTTCAGCCTCACGAATGCGGCGCTCTCATCCAGCAGTGCCCATACCAAGCTCGTCACAGAGCCTCATAACGTTCAACCCGGCTATATATCATGCAAGGTAGAGTCACTTCACTCTGCCAATGGGAGTACTCAAATACGAGGCCCATCTCTTTGCTATGCTTGCTTACTTTACAGAACAACCGAGTTACATAATTGCTAATCTCGGACCTTGGATGCTCGGCTCGGCGATCGACGCCACCGACCGCAGGCGCCAAGAAGACCCGCAATAACGTACGCCCGAACCGGCAAGCGGTCCAGAGATTCACGTGAGGGGCAGCGTGTGGCTGAGAAGCACCGCCACGGCCTGCTAACCTAAATCCGGATCATGATGTCGACCGGACCGCTAGAGTACAACGAGGCAACGTTCATCACAACAGCCAACAACTCAGTGTCTCCTTCCTTGATCCGGTAAGTATCAAAGGCATTCCAACAGCCTTTTCCGAGTGCAGAACGGTCTCGTAGCCATACCATACACCATGCCTTCCACCAGGGCGTACATCAAGGCTATCTCGGCGTACGTAGTAGACCCTCTTCTCATTCACTAAACTTGGAGTCTAACAGTTTTTCAGAGGTGCAGTGCTATGCATAGGTGGCCCCGCGCTCGTCATGTGGGTGACGCCGACTGAAGAAGAGATTTTCAAAGTAGGTTGCATACTTCGTCACGTGAAGGCTAGACTGGGAGTCGCAAACTCACACATCACAGAGGTATAGCCCAGAATTGCAAAAGAAGGCTCTAGCTGGCAGGGAACAGCGCCAGAAGGACTTCGATGCGTTTGTTGGTCAGCTAAAGGAGGCGTCCAAGTCAGATAAGCCCAGTAAGTTGTTCGTCCACTGATGGACGAAGACATCCTCAATGCCTAACAATTTCTGACTTCCTGGAAATCCTAGTCTGGACTGCACAGAAGGAGATGGATGCAAAGCGGTCCGCTGAAGAGCAAGAGGCTCGCAGGCAAGAGCGAGATGCTTACGCCGAAGAGAGTCGCAAGAGGCAAGCGGAGATTAGGGCCAGCACACAATGAGACTGTTCCATGTCATATTACTGCTCTATCGACCGCCATGTAGTTTTACCTGTACTGTTGAATATACTGTAAAAGGAAGGGACGTCTGTTTTCTGCGTCTAAACCCTCCATACACTCGAGGACGTTGCCCGTCTGTGTCACTTCCCAACGAAAAATCTGTCCACAATACTGATCAAGAACACTCAAAATCAATGAATCTATGTCTTCATCCAAGACTGTCTTGGATCTTGTGATAATATGATGATCCTGAAAACCTACCACCAAACCAGTTTGGTGAGAGCAGTCAGGTCTCGTGACCGCGCGACGTTTCGCGGCGACCATCCCAGCATGTCACAACACGCGTCACCCCACCTTTCCTGCACCTCCGCGAATGCCCCTCTTGATCCAATGCCAGACGATGCCCAAGCGCCCGTCAAGCTCTCTCTGCCTCTTGTACCATCTCTCCTTCTCTCGCCAGACGATTCTTGCTAATGACATCATAGGAATTTCAACAGGACATCTTCAAAGAGCTGCGCGAAGAAGATGAGCTCGTTATCCTCGCTCGGGGGCTTGGCCTACTACGCATCGTCACGAACCTCCTTCACTCATACGATGCGGCTGGAAACAACCTCATTCTACTCGTGGGCGCCGATGACCGTGAGAATGTGTGGATCGGTGAGGCGTTGGCTGAGCATGCGGCCGTGAGCAATGCGCCAAAGTGTCGCGGGTTGAGTCTGGTGAATACAGATCTCATGACTGTGGGGACAAGGGAGAAGATGTATGCACAGGGCGGCATATTCAGTATTACGTCACGCATCCTAATCGTCGACTTCTTATCTGGCCTGCTGAATCCAGAAACGGTGACGGGCGTCGTGGTGCTGCATGCTGAGAGGGTGGTGGCGACGTCGCTGGAAGCATTCATATTGCGCATCTACCGACAGAAGAATAAAGCAGGTTTCTTAAAGGCCTTCTCCGACACACCCGAGCCCTTCACAACTGGGTTTGCGCCTCTGACCCACATGATGAAGAACCTGTTCTTATCGAAACCGGCTTTATACCCGAGATTCCACGTCTCTGTCGCCAACTCGCTCGAAGGGCGCAAAAAAGCAGAAGTCATCGAGCTGGAGGTACCCATGACGGAGGCTATGCAGGACATACAGAACGCGGTCCTGGCATGTGTGGAAGCCAGTATCAGCGAGCTCAAAAAGGCCAATCCAGGGCTCGAAGTCGAGGACTGGAATGTAGACAGTGCTCTGCACAAGAACTTTGATCAGATCATCAGACGTCAGTTAGATCCAGTATGGCATCGGACGACTTTCAAGACACGGCAGGTCGTCCGTGATCTGTCACTGCTTCGGACGATCCTACATGCACTCCTCACGTACGACGCTATCAATTTCAACAAGTATCTCGATACTGTTCTAGCAGCATCGCAACCACCACCTGGGTCAACAAGGCAGAATCAATCTCCTTGGCTCTTTCTGGATGCTGCAGATACCATCTTCACAACGGCAAAGCGAAGAGTCTTCAAGGGAAGGATTTCGAATGCTGAGCTGGCTAATAGTTCAAATGCCGTGCCTGAGTCGTTGGAGCCTGTTCTTGAAGAATTCCCCAAATGGGCACAACTCGCAGATATCCTACAAGAGATCGAGCAGGACGGATACTTTAATCCTACGCCACAAGACTCGTCCAACGGCTGTATACTCATCATGTGTGGCGACCAAGGCACGTGCTCCCAGCTCAGAGAGTATCTGCAAACCATGTATGTCGAAGCAGAAGAAGCCGTGAATGAGGAGGATGGCGACAATGACCATGAACCATCCGCGAGATTTATGATGCGTCGCAAACTTCGCAACTATCTGGCTTGGAAAAGAGACTTCAGCAAAGTCAGCGCAGCTCTCTTCTCCGAGAACCAAAAGGCCATCAACACCAGCACGGATCGAAGCGTTCAAAGTGGCATAAGCAAGACATCAAGCAGACCTCCTCCCAACAAACGTCGTCGCGTACGAGGCGGTGGCTACTCAGCAGCAGGCCCATCTCGCTCAGACACAGGCGCTGTCCGTATAGCGGGGGACCGCGACTCTCACATTGCCAGTCTCATGGCTGAATTGGAGCCCACCGACTTTGAAGCTGCGCAAAAATCCGGGGAAGTAGGTTCAGACCCTCTCGACAACATGGACTCGATGTACGAGCTCTTCGATATGGACTCCCTCGTCATCGTGCACCCCTACGCCGGTGATCTCGACGAACACATCCTCGACGAAACGAAACCCCGATACGTCATCATGTACGAGCCAGACGCTGCATTCATTCGACGAATCGAAGTGTACCGCTCTTCACACACCGATCGCACCGTAAAGGTCTTCTTCATGTATTACGGAGGGAGCGTGGAAGAACAGCGTTATCTCTCTGCAGTACGAAGAGAAAAAGACGCCTTCACCCGGCTCATCAAAGAACGAGGCAACATGGCTCTGACCCTGCACACAAACGCCAATCTCGCACCCGAAGAAGCCTTTCTTCGTACAATCAACACGCGCATCGCTGGCGGCGGCCGTCTGACTGCCACCACGGAGCCCCCGCGCGTCGTAGTCGATGTCCGAGAATTCCGCTCCAGTCTCCCCTCTCTTTTGCATGGTCGCGCAATCGTCATTGTACCCTGCATGCTCACCGTGGGCGACTACGTCCTCACGCCGCAAATCTGCATTGAGCGCAAATCCGTCCGCGACCTCATCCAATCCTTCGCCAACGGCCGCCTCTTCAACCAGGTCGAAAGCATGATGGAACACTACAAACAGCCCATGCTCCTCATTGAATTTGACGCAAACAAATCCTTCACCCTCGAGCCGTTTATGGATTTCTCGGCCCCTGGTGGTGGCGCTGCTGCGACAAATGCCTCTGGTCTCGCAGCCGCCCCGGATCTCCAGTCTAAGCTCGTCATGCTGACACTGGCGTTTCCTCGCCTACGCATCATTTGGAGTTCCTCGCCGTATCAGACGGCGGAAATATTTGCGGAGCTGAAGAAGGGGGCGGACGAACCGGATCCCATGAAGGCGGTTCAGCTTGGGCTGGATCCGAATATGGGCGGCGACGAGTTGAGAAGTTTCAATCAGACGAGTCAAGATATGTTGAGAGCGCTGCCAGGGGTGACGGAGAGTGTGGTCACGACGTTGATGTTGAGGTGTGAGAGTATTCATGAACTTGCAAATATGAGTGAGAGGGAGGTTTGTTGGTTGATTGGGACGGATGTGGGGAGGAGGGTTTGGCGGTTCTTTAATAGGAGTGTGTACGACAATGCTGAGATGCCTACTTGGTCGTAATGGGAGACATGACTGAGGATGAGAATAGAGAGGGAGGATGGATGGAAGTGAGCAGGTATGTATTTAACCCCCTATCATGGATCGACGAACCATAGACTAGGCCATGAAACCTGAACCAACGTGAACCGACATTACCATGCTTCCCTTGCGGATTAACAAAACACAAACCGTCCGTCCGCCCGCTCGCAAGAAGCAGCATTTGAGCAGCCCGTATCTCGCATCGAACATGCAGCTGAGCAAGAATCGAGACAGCATGGCGGACCTTGCCTCTCCCGCTCGTCCTCTAGATATCATCGATATCAATCTCTTTCTTGCCTGTGCCATCAGCCTCGTCCGAGTCGCTGTCATCGCGGTCCTCGTCGAATTCGAAGCCAATGCCCTCGTCGCCCTGATCGCCATACGTATCCGTCTCGTTGATCTTTGCGTTTTCGGGGAGTTCGCCGTAGGCTTTTAATGAACGGGCTTCGTCGGCTATACATGGAGTAGTACGTCAGCAACCAGACTCGACACAGTATACAAGTAGCAATAGAAGAATAAATGGCTAAAACTTACCAGAATACTTCATGATCACATCGCCCTTCTCGTCCTGGTAGTCGCGCAAACTCAACAGGATGATGTCACCCTGGTTGATCCAGACCTTCTTGCGCAATTTGCCACGAATATGGGCTAATCGCCGCGCACCGTCAAAGCACTGTGCTTCCAGGCGTCCGTTACCCAACATCTTGACGACTTGGGCATATTCTTGGCCTTCCTCTTTGAAGACGAGTTCACGCTTTTCATTGTCGTTCTCGTTCTTGCCACGACGCCTGTTTTTACCTCCCTGTTTGAAGTTTGTTATGTTAGTCCTATATTCTCTGGGTCCTTTTCGTTGTGAGAGGAGGTGGTGTGGTGGCGTCATGCGCTGGGCTGCGATGCGTGCGTGCCCCGCCAACGCCTGAGGGGAAAGTTGGGAAGACGCACCTTTCCCTTATTCTTGGGCATTGCGAAGTTTGTGTGTGGTTATGAGGGGAATATAGTGGAGGATGTCGTTAAAGGACCGTCAATAGGTATAAGTGCAGGTGGTGCGGCGACGGGCGCAGGGTATTATAGAATCTTCGTAGCGGCCTTGTTCAATGTGTGGGTTCGACTGACTGTGCGGGTTGCCTTTGAACCACGCACTGGCCTCAACCTTTCCCTCTTCGAGTCTAGTCTAGCTACTTTGTTGGGTCCCGCGAAGCAACATTGAACTTGGTCAAACTTCACCACGTGCTACAAGCCTTTTGGCTGCCAATCCGACATTACATCAACTTCACCGTGTATGTTCGCTTCATCCTTCCCTCCACTGCCCATGCGACCCAGGCGCCATGTCCAAAAGCCCATACCGCATCATCAACCGCTATAACCCCACAACATTCAAGATCAATTACACGCCCGAATACAAAACCTTCACCCAGCACCACATTGCTACCGATCGCTCACATCCCTTGTACATTGCCCAGAAGCGGCGGCAAGCTGAACGCTCCAAGGAGGGGCTGTGGTGGCATGTGACAACGGGAGTCGATCTATCTAAATCGAGCTGCGTGAGGACGTGGGCGAGGCGACGGCTGCGCAATGCAGTACGCGAGGAGCTACAACAACGAGGCTACAACCATGCTGGCACCCTGGTCGACACTGCAGCGTTGAAAGACAGGCCAGAACTAATCAATGTGCTGCGGCAGGGAAGGAGCTTGGATCTCAAAGGCAGTCTGAGACTGCATGTCCTGGCGCCACTGATACCTGCAAAGTACACGGTTTTATGTGCTGAGACGGGCGAGATGATTGAAAAGATGCTGCAAGTGCTCACGGCTGAGTCGTATCAGCAGCCGTCGTTGAGGAACACAGGTGCTCGTCCGCGAAAACAGCAGTTCCTGATCAAGTCTTAGCCGGTTCGTCGGGGAAAAGGTTTCGTGATCAAATTCAGGTTCGACGAAAGCGAGAATATCCACTAAGAATGCATGCTGGTACATCACGACTCAAGAAATATACTGCCTCTGCCTGAAGATCCAGTCGAGTATTCCCCTGCCATCCACATGAAACACTGGACATTGATGGAGATGCCAAGTCCTCTATGGCAGGTCAAACAACCGGAGTAAGACGCAGCCAAGTTCAGCGGTATGTCTGGTTACCATGATGGGCACTATGAGCCAGCAGTTGAACGTGATCTTCATAAGAAATCATCTTGCAGCTGCAAAACGCTTCAAAGCTTGGTGGGAAACGACCATCTCCCCAGATAGCCGCCAGCACGCGTTCCTCCAAAAATTCAGACGTACCAGTACGTCCGCTCTACCACGCAGGCAGGCTCAAAAAGGCAAGGCAATCGACTACCCATTTGAGTAGTGACCTAAGGCTGCATTATTCAAGGCAGTAAGGGATACGGCAGATTCCATCTGCCGTACAGATGTATGATATGTACTCTTAATACAAAAGCAATAAGCAAAATGCCATCAAAATCACCATTTTCACTCCACAGACGTCTAGTCGCCCCAACCTGGTTTTGACCGAAGAACCACGCTTCCCCTTACGGTCTCTCTACCTGACCAGCTTCAACGCTTTTTTTTCATTCAGGATGGCATTACGCAACGGCATGAATCCAAATTAATGGAAAACATACATCACTATCCCTTCCCCATGATTCCTTGGTCCTGTTTCCCGCATAAATACTTCTAGGATCCAGTTCTCGGCTAGTAGAGTGTGTGGTGTTTTAAATCTACAGTGTTTGAAGATTTCCTCGTGGCTGAGGTATTTGTAATAAGAAATAGGTGTAACCCATGCATATCCCCTGGCTTTTGGTAGGAAGTTTTCATGACAGCGATAAGTCTAGTATTGGACAGCGGCAGGTATGTACGGGACCATGCATTCTAAACGCTTTTGCCATTCTACCACAAATTCTTTCCAATCTAGACCATAAGCTTCATGAATCTTTCCTTGGTGTGAAACAGGAACTACCGGAATGTAAACTGACGTCCAAAGGTCTTGTAGACCCTAACAACCTAACCAGCGCATGAATCGTTGCTTGTACTAGTGCTAGTCTACATAGTAAGCATATCTTATTGGTACAGACAGCTAGGGAATGATGCAATGGGGTCATATTTAACCAAGTACATCTGTATATATCTACGAGATCTTTCACTTCACTAGCAATTGACGTCAATAATAAAGCCATCTTTCCCCCACACTCCTAGGTAATCCTCTGTCTCGCCGTATCCAGGAGTCTTTAGAAGCGCAACTTATGATGAGTGAATGTTGTAAGCCTCATTGTAGATAGACTTCAGAGGCAAGAAAAGTGCCGTGAGAGGAAGGGACACGGTAATGGGGGGCGATGGTATATGATTGGTAGCTGGGAGCCTCTACTCTATTGTTGAAACAACAGCGACACCATAAGGTATAAAAGCGCAGCTAAAGAGCATTGTGATATTATTTTCAACCGCTATGGATAGTTCTAATACTAACGTTTGAAACAGACTCTTGCGACATTATGATTATAGGTTTGAATGATCGGAACCATGCAAGTCAAATGCAAAACAACGCCTCAATTATTCAATCTAAATGAAAACAAACAGTCATCAAATAATGTTTACAAGCAAGAATGATTGCAATGGGTTAAGTTCATAATACGGTGATGGTACATAGTAACCAAAGGTCTGTAAGGCGCTTATCATAAAATGTGCTCAGTAGCAGACTTAGCAGACCGTCTCCAGGGCCAGCTGGGAAGCTGCATCACCAAAGACTAGAAATTCATTATGGGGGAAACGATACGGATATAAGCTATTCATAGAGTATGTTACCACATGGCATGCTTATTTCCAGCTAATAGGCCAAGCTCCGGCGCTACTATTCATTGGTCGCGCATAATTGGGCAGAGACTTGCGTACCTAGTTTACCTATCGGATCAATCAAGCCGAATTAGTGTTGAGCATGTGCCCTTGAGATCAAAACTTCTGTTAGCATGCGTGGGAATTCGGCTATGTAACGTCCCGGTCGGAAGGCATTCAGCTGTTTGTTTTGGCAGATGCGGCTGAACTATAGTGGTTGTAACTAATTGTTCAGGGATAGGAAATCACGGCCGAAGGAAGACGTGGCTAATGCAAAGGTACCGCATCATAGGAGCGACCTAATTCCACGTCTAAAAGGACCTTTCAGGGACTATGATAGAACATCATTGTAAAACAGAAAAGTTTGTTGGGACATGTATCAAGGAGAGTCATGACGCCTCAGTTCAAGTACCAGTGCACGGAATTCGATATGTCACCGCCAAGCTTGTTGATAGATTTGGTGGCTTTATGACTTTGTGAAGCGACACATGACTTGATGATTTTGTGAAGCGACACAAAGTCACACATCTCAAGAACCCAGACAAAAAATACTGCAAGTATTGAATTGAAAACATGTATATATATACCACGCGTTGATCATCTCGAGAAACCACAGATATCAAGCAGATAGAGTCTCTCGGAGTCTGTCCATGGGACAGTACATGACTGATGCACTACCTACACCCTCAGTTCCGAAATAGTGGCTACCTGCAGTATCGCAACGGTTCCTACCGTGCTAAGCGAAGTGACATTAACTTACCGAGAGCCAGTCCCATGGTTTCCGTTGTACCTGCATCTCGTCCCGAGTACATATGTTCGGAGCGTCATGGAATCGGGCCTTCTCCGAATACCCATGCCACTTCGCTCAACGTCAATTCGACTGTGTACATCTCCGAGGAAGAATCATTTCTCCATCAGCGCCAGAAGGAAGCTTTTTCAAAACATGTTGGAAGAACCAAAGCTTGAGAAATCAGGCTCTACCATCTTCTGAGAGTGCAGCACTAAAACTTCTCACAAGCGGGCCGCATGTCTAGCTCATGGGTCCATAGACACGGCTTCTGGTTATGCAGAAACAAATACGTCTCGCCCACAGCGTCAGCGTTCATCTTCTTGCCTGTCTTCTGATCTTCTCCATCTTCGTCGACAATGGCCCCATTCGCAATCGTGTGTACGACATGCACTCCGCGTTCGCTCATCTCGCGTGCCAGAGTCTGAGCGAGCTGGCGCACCGAGGACCGGCTTGCGCCGTAGGCTGCAAATTGAGCACTATCAGCATGTCAGTCAACCTTCTTGACCATTGCGAAGTAGCGTATGGTACCTGCAGCGAAGTGCCCCTAGCGTGCCAGTAAAAATCAGAGTCTGTTGTTGATCAGCAAATGCCAAACATCAAGCATGTTCCCTGTTTATATACTTACACCCTTCTTACCTCCTCCCTCATGGAGACCTTCCTCCCCATGATCCTCAAAGAACCTGTTCAAACTTTCCTGCGCAAACGTAAAAGCACCACCGACATATGTCTCGAGACTCTCCTCAAACGCGCTCCTCGTCTCTTCCAGAAACGGCTTCTTGGACGAATGCTTGATGCTGTAAATTGCTAGCTTCAGTTTGAGACCCTGGAAATTCTTGTGAGACTTGATATCTTGGAAAGCTTTCTTCAATGACTCTTCGGAAGTATCTGAGGGAAAGGATTCGAGGACTGCGTCCGGGCTGGTGCTGTGTATGTTGGTGATTACGGAGGCGAGAGATGCAGGACGCCGAGCTATGAGCGCTACGGCGAGGTTACCGTGGGAAGGGTGAGAAAGTATGCGTGCTATTCCTGTACCCTAGATGCCACAATATAAGACTAGAGTCATTCCTTCTGAGGGGTTTGCTATCACATGCTTACGGTTGCAGGGCCAGCGCCAATGAGAATAGCCAGGCCGTTAGGGGTCATTGTATAAATCTTCTGTGGGTCAAGTTGACTGTGTTGTACGATTTAGGGAATACTTCCTTGGTGTCATGCTCTCGGTGTTTTGGAAGTGGTGGTTGTTGTGCCTAGGCTGGCACTGCGTCATCATTCACGAATTGCGTAGTCCATTGGCGGCTAACTCGATTGAGTCAAGATTAATCATGATATCACTCTCTTACCAACAACAATCCAACTTGTAGAAGCAGTGAGAATCAGGGAAGCTTGCACTCTGACTGTGTAGGATAGTCTGAGTCAGCATATTAAGTCTGATTGAATGCAGTCATGAGTCATCTGATCCGAGCCAGTCTCACGACTCAGGTCGAGCAACATCCATGCCTCACAATGACGAAGCCTGATATTGATATGACCGGAATGCTTCGGCCACGCCAGATTTTCCCATTCTTTGATCCATCATCGAGATTGCATCTTCGATGTAAGTACTAGGCCGAAAGGCGAAGTTTGCCATCTTGTGGCTCAATGGTACTCCTTGAAGGGTTCCACATAGTTCCCAGTTGACCATCAAAGATCGTAACGTCTTCCATCTTAGGCACATCATCGTCACATGCAAACCGTCTCTCATCACACTGCTATCAACGAAGAGATACAATCGTACTAGCTCTTATCACTGACAAGGGTTGTGATCACATAGAGGTAAGGTCATCATCGGGGCCAGTGGCTGTGCAGTTTAATCGGTGGCCTAGTTGAGTACTATAATGCTATAACACGCATTAGATGATATTGAGTCCTCCATGACTGTCAGCAACGATTCCTAGACGATGCAAAGTCACTAAACTGACCGACTTCTGAGCTCTGACAGCTTCTGTTCTATCATGCCGAATCTGGTGCATGCCTCCAGGACACACATGAGGGTCAGCAATGTCGAGCCACTATGGTACGTGTAGGTCAGATGAATAGATCCTACGTAGCGCAGGTAAAACTCGCGTCCCAAGCCAGAGTACCGGTACGGCCTATCTACCATTTCTGATGAGAGGAGCGACACCGCATAGGTCGTGAGGAAGCCAACGATCAACGTCCCAGGCTCAACGCAGGCTGAGTTGGCCATGTCGTGCATGCATCTGCTGCGCACGCAATGACTTTTGGGTTCAATCTCGGGAGCGACCCGATTGCCAAGTAGCACTCATTCGAGAGCGCCAAGCAGACTAGAACGAATCGAGAAGGGGTTTGACTTTTGAGCTTGCACATTCGTAGCAAATTCCAACCACACGCCCGTTTACACCCTCCATGGATGCTTAATGGCCCTACGATCTCTAGTATTGCCGACCCATCACACGCAATCTTCGAAAACACGGCTATCGCGGAGCCTAGGTCCCGCCTTGACGCTCACCGATCAGTGGTAGCAGCCGTTTGCTACGGGGATCGCAGTATTGGCTGTCTCGTGTAAGTCAAGTAGCACTTAATCGGGCGACCACGCTTCAGGGCCCCATCTTTACCTCTGTCTTTTCTCCCTAGTGCTTCATCAGAGCGCACATGCTAAAATTCAAAGGTGCATTGAAACCTCACTGGAGGAATAGGAGTATTCTTCTCGCTTCATATTACCCCTTCCAGTCCAGGTTCTCGAACGCACGTGTCTTCACGTATGCCGTGTACTGCTTCGTGGCATCGCATCAATGATAGTGCTCTTGAATCTTTGAACTCTGTCTTGTGCTGCTAGGGCAGCCCATGGCGCGAGTGCGGTCCGCAAATCACACCGGCACAGATTGCCCCAGGACTCTCTCAGCCCTAGTGAGCCAGGATCTTGAAACAAAACTTCACATCCGTTCCTTTGGGTTTCCCCTGACCAGATGCGACATGCACGGTATACGTAATTTATATTGCTGTCCCCCGTACAAAATAGAAATTCAGAGAGGAAGAGTATGACTAACTTTGCGGATTCTAGAGCCATTGTAAAGTAGGCTCTCTGTGCTGCTGTACGGTATATCGCAAAGTGCGCAATTCAATCACGTCTTCCGCACAATGTAGTTTAGTAGGAAATAGCGCCATCGACACTGTGCCGTAAGGAGTGCAGGAGTTGCGCTACGGTACCGTCCAGGCATCGTAAATGTGTAGAGCGGCGCAATACAAAACGTTGATTCTACATCTAGACTTCGCTCTTCACTGCCTGTGCAACTCTGTTGCAACATGTGCGGCATATTTGGGAGTTCAGCAATTGACTTGAGCGTTATATTTATAGTTAACGCTCGCCGGAACCATCTCCGTCACGGCACCTCTGGTAAACTAAGCGTTGAACCATGTCAATGCCACTTTAAATATCAAGTGACGATCTTAGCACTGAAGAGCATACCGTACCCACTCAACAGAAGATTGGACACCTAATCCAAAAAAAATCCCATATGGTCAATTCAGTCGCTTGTCCATCTTTTCCAGGAAATCTTACCAGGATCTGACAAATCCAAAAGCCTCCCGAGTACTCGCCGCCCCCATCGAGAGACTGTCTAGACCCAACGTCCTTGTGTGAGCACGGGCCGTGTTTCCTGGTAAGACTACAATGTGCAAGTTCTGCTGTCACGGCTGCCAGAATCGAGGGATCGTAGATCTTGACTGTTCACACATGCAGGCGTCAGGATCGAGTAGGACCGAGCACGTTCTGGCACACTGGAACTGTTCAGAGGTGAGCCATGCGCTATTGCTGTTCTGCACCCCCCCCCCTCCCAGGAGCCTTTGACTCGTAATTTGGCTTCCTAGCTGCATATTGCTATATTATCAACACATATTATCAAGGATGTTGCAACGGCCTGCTGATCAGAAGTGTGGTATCCATGCAATCAATCTGCCAGATCTGGAGAGCTACAGACAGGCTTTTTGCGCCCCGCCGGCCTAGGCACATCGCTTCGATGGACAAGAAGTGGAGTATGCCCCTCCTCACAATATTCTTAGCTACGGCTTGACCATAAGCTAGCCACGAGCGAATGGCCCGGTAGCGCGTAGACGACACTATGTAGGCAAAGCCACCGTGGCCAGCATAGCCTATGTCCAACACTCCGTTACTCAGACCGCTGGTGGCTCCTTCGCGCTGCTCCGAGGAGGGGCAGCTACGTAGGTTGGTGGAGTGGTACGAATTTTGATTGGGACCCGAGCGAAAGCCTGCTGATTATATCAACAGACTTCAGCTCAACACAACAATAGTACATGCAATGTACGGAACGGGAGCTGTATATCCTCTTCATTTGGACGAGTTCTCGTCTTCAGTTCGAAAACTAGCAAGGGTGATACGTTACCAGTCATTGAGTGAATGACTGCGAATGGGCTTTTCTAATCTGCCGGGAGGGGTAGTGAAGACATCCATAAGGTAACGTGTCCGTCAACCTAATTTGCTGGCCATATCCAATCGAGCCACGGCCGTGACCTACCTTGAAATCTGCACGACTAGGCGTGGTTACCGTCCCCCGCGATCAGCATTAGCGAAAGGCCACCTGCGTGACCTATTTCACAAGCATCCCCACTGCAGGATATCACATTACCGTATCATGCAGTGTTCCGGTGAAGGAACTCGACACAACCATGATGAAGAAAGTATGGCGAGGGCGTGAGTGCCTACATGTCTCGTCACTTCGCAACTACAAGACAGCCGATCATGCAGCCCCTACCGCGTGCTCGGACTCGATGCATACATAGGAAAATCGATCCAGACTCCGTGTTCTCAATTTGTTCACCGAATCGTGATATACTCTAAGACTGACAAGACTATTTCTGTGGTATGTTTCTCCTGTATGGATGGCGTCGGCTAGCCAGTGTTGAGAGCTTCTTAGTAACTCAGGATACCTATGCCGACTTTGGCTGAAGTCTGAAAGTGGAGCATATTGGGAAGTGTCCTGTAGGGCTGATGCATAGAATAATCACTGGCATTCTGATCTACGAGAGCCCATCAAGCATATGCAATGCTTGAAATCATCTCTAGCATCATACCAAGGATATCTCGACCCGCACAAGGTAAGGATGCATTGCAGCTTCCTGTATTTTACCGTCGGCTCGTATCCCAAGGGCTCCAACGAAAAAGGACAGCTTGAGCGTCGGAAGCAGGGGTAGAGTAAGCCGGCAATGGCTTATTTCTTTGTAATAGCTGAGATGAGTATTAGCCAAGGGGACCTAGTTCCGCTCGTGTGGCGAAGCTACGATACATCCCGCTGCACCTGTCTTGCACCTGCACCTTCCTTGAACCCGAGTACTATGTGAAATGTAGAAAAAGAAGAAGAAAATCTCGTGGATGTGTGCCCTGCTCGGCGCCGCGTACTGACCGACTACGGCCTTCAACGCCCGGCCATCTATCAGGTGATGAAACGAAAAAAACAGGCGTCTTTTCACACTAGCCTGCAAAGACGATCAGATGCCTCAGCAGGCTAGAAAAGCCCATGTGCTATTTGTGATTCAATGGTATTACCGAATTCTAAAATGCCATGTGTTCGTCAATGTCGGCTCACTCAGCTTTATATTCACGCAGCTCTACACGACAGCACGCTCAAACATAAAACCAAGGTTCACTCATTGCTGTAAGACCCATACAGTTCAGTTACCATATCTAGTGTATATATAAGTCCTGTCCCTGACGCTCTCCCTCTTTCTCTCCCACACACCCACACACTTTTTCTTTCTCTCTCTTCTCCAATTACAAACGCCATACACTGTTCCAGGACGCTAAGAGCTCGGCCTCATTCTGTGCAGCCTAGGCAAGGATAGGACTGTCATTATATCTGAGACACATTACGAAGTCACTCCAAGTCTTTTAGCACCGGCGGTGTACTTCCGAATATGTCACTTCACTCCCTCAGTCCGAGGTCATCGACCGAGAGTCTACAGAGCAGCTCTTCCACCTCGTCGGCTCCTGACAAGCTTGCACCGGCCGTGACAGGCCCCATGGTGTGGGAGGGAAGAGAGCTCGATCCTGCACAATATGTTGTTCATCTCAGCGATCGTGAGATTCAAGACATTCGAGCAGCAGTCATCAAGGTCAAGAGTAAGTCTTGTATTCATTTTGGAGTTGGATCAAGCAGCTATCTCTGCCCACCAATCCCTCTCCTTTTTTTACTCTCTCCTTATACTAGCAGAAGAAATGATAGGATGAAGAATATCAGAGACCAGGTTTCTAACGCTTCTGAACAAAACAGTGGCCGGAATTGTCCGATCAGACATCAGCCAAGAGACGTTTGACTTGGGTAACGCGGATTTGACCCGCCGCCTATCCTCAATCACCAAAGCCATTCACGAGGGCCGAGGTGTCGCCGTCCTCCGTGGCCTCGACACTGCCCGCTTCAACGACGAAGAGGCCGTCATCGCGTTTGCAGGAGTATGCGCCCACATCTGCCCGCAACGGGCCACTGACTCGTATGCCAACCAGACCCTGAGTGAGTTTCTATAGTGCACTTTAGCCCCCCCGGCTTCCCGCCACTATGGTAACTTTCCCGCCAGCAAAGAGAAAAAAAAGACTAACGATTTTTTCTTCTACACACTTGCAGGTCATGTTCGCGATGCTACCAAGGATCTTGTTCCTGACTGGGCAAAGGACATTGGTCTTGCCGGGTCCAAGATAACAGCCGCCATGGACTTCCACAGCGACCGCTTCTCCGGCGACGTGCTTGCCCTGCATGTTCGCAACGACGGCGGCGAGAATGCAGGAGGCGAGCAATTTGTGGTGAGTTTTGCGCGTATTTACAATGAGCTGCTCGTCAGCGATCCCGAAGCGCTAGAGACCATGGCCGAACCGACATGGCCTTTTGAACTCAAGCAAAAGTAGGTTTCTCCCCGGACATATACCCCAGCCGACAAACCTGACGTTGTCCTTTTAGGGACAAGGCACCTCACCTCGAGCCAGGACCAACCCTCTTCTTTTCAAATGGCAAGCCCATGTGTCAGCTAGTCAAGGCCCCACTCGTGGGGACCCCGTTGATCCATCGAGATCCCGCCATGCCCCGTTTGACTGCCAAGCAAGAACATGCGCTGGAGGCGGTCGAGGGGTTAGCGAAGCGCTTCTGCACTAGCCTCGACCGTCAACAGGGCGACATTCAGTTTCTTCACAATCTGAGCATCATGCATGCTCGCGGAGCTTACCGAGGCACAGGCGGCAGGCCTAGTACCCGTCATCTTTTGCGCATGTTTCTTCGTGATCCAAACTATGCTTGGTCGAAGCCAGCCTCTTACCGCCACAACTTTGACGATCCATTCGTGTCCGGAAGACCCCAGAACCTTCCCGTCATTGACAACGACCCCTGGAGGCTCATTAGCGGCCGCGAGAGCCACGGGTAGGGGCTCTAGTTCAGTCATCAATACGATACTTGTATCCGCACGGCTTGAAAGAGTACCGTGATTGTGGCGAGCTGGGACGTGGCGGCATGCGCTGTAGTCGGGACTTCTTGCGCGATGGATTTTCCTCATAGACAGACAAGTTTATCCCTACTGTAATCAATCAAAGATGATGTTGCTATCATGTTAGGCTATCAGCACGCTAATTGAATCTTAATCGAACAACTACATCTTCGTTTCGACCGTCCTGGAGAGTGACGTGACCTGGTATCAAACTGAACCTGAAACTTGCGAAAATGACCAATCAGATAAATCAAGCACCGGCTTCTCTAAAAAGCCTTACGATCCATTCGTTCGAAGTGGACCAATGCACCGCAGCATAGCCGGTCAGAGGCGGTTGAAATCGGTCTGCTGACGTCAGCACAGGATATATCTCATGGAACATTGCAAAACTGACCTGGGTCTGACCTGTCAAAGAAATTGGCAATTCTAGTCACATAGTCGAAACCTTCAGAATCGATGTGACCCTTCTCTCGTAACTCTTCGGGGTTGTCGCGCGCAAGTTTGAACGGAGAATAGCCACGAAGAATACAGCGCCAATGATACAGCAAAACGGGAAAAGCAAATTGCCATTTCTTGATCTGTGTCGACACCACGTTGCTCACTTGATTTCCGATCAACTGCATGGATTAGTATCCTCGTTTCAGAAAATCGCTTGTAAATCAACTTACAGTGCCGTTCTTAGACTTGATGTAGTCGTGAGCCCCGTGCTGAATGTAGTCCAGATTCCAGAAGATGACATAAAACGCCAGAAACAACTCATACCAAGGTTTGATCCGAGGTTTGAAGATGAGTGCCGCCATCTCTTTCACAAACATCTTTTCCAGCTTTCGCAAATATTTGACTGCAGCAACATCCATCTGATGAGTAATCGCTCCTGGCAAAGGCCGATCACGAGAATTTCGATCGTACGCTTCATAATCGCTGCGACCAAGTCGCGTGTAGTCGTACTCCTTAATGCCGGGTATGTCGTTGGACCAAACAGAACCATAGCCTTGCGAGACGACAGAAAGACACTGAAGCCGCATCGCCAAGTCGAGGGCTTTTGATTCTTTCAGGCTTCGCATGCGAACCACCTCCCGGTAGGTGTGGTAAGCCACTTCATCCTGGCGAATCCGGGAGAAGATCCATTCCTCGATTGCAGGCTGTAGAGTTGCAAAATACCTCTCAAATGTTGGTACAAGGTTCGCTGTATCGTATACAGCATATGCTGGCTGTTGAACTGACTTCACCTCGCCATTTTTATTTGTCCAGACCGAAGCCGCCATATCGAGCGAACCCCTTCTTGGGTTATACGGTCTGAAGGTGATGCGCATGGGCTGTGCGTTTGGTATTGGACCGTAGCCTGGAAGATTCCAGATGATATCCATTTCGAAGAGCTGGCTGTGCTGAACCCAATCGTAGCCCAGGAATTCGGCCTCCTCTTGATGCTCACGGCCATTGCCTGATCAAAGTTAGGTAATGTACAATACTAGTGATACGATCAATCTTACATCGGCGTACCAAGCTCGTGTCCTCTAGGTGCTCCCTGTAACAAGGCTCCCGGAAAGATCTAGCATGCCCCGTTATTTTTTCACACTTTTCACATGGATCGCCCTCGTCGCACTAGGACAATTAGTTGCGTATTCTAGCAATACTTGGCTTACTTACACCAGACTTGTAAAACCTGCAGCGAACGCAAATCCTCTTGGTTTTGCGCATAGTATGCGTCTTTTCTCTCTGCTTTTCGTGAAGAGGGCCTCGCCGCCTGGAAATCTTTAATTTCTCCTGGCGCTCTACAAACGACGAGGGAACCTTGGCAGCCTTCTTCTTCGAAGACGGTCTCTCCTGGGCAATCTGGGGCATAACGGTATTGGCAAATGGATCAAGCGGGGCGCGTTGCTCTTCGTATGCCCGATGTGCATGCTGTACCGGCAGAACCGACCATTCCTGGCTACTGTCGTGGCGGCTTTGATACAATGGGGGTGCCATCATCGCGCTAGAGGCATCGAGAGGCCATGTTGGGGCAGATGGGCTGCTCTGTACAGCAGTCGTTGCGACATTCGCATACGCATTGTCAGGATGTTCGAGATATGGCGATTGCATGCTCCAAGGCGCGACAGGCTGTGACGGAACCGTGTCGTTGTTATGAATACTGTCATGCAGTGGGGACATGTGCAGAGGAGGCTGCGGGTACTGTGAAACCACAGGCTGCTTCAGAGCCAGTGTGGAGAAGGATGCATGTGCCATGTTGACGGATGGCTCCTGTCACGATAGCTTAGTGAGGAGTCAGTTGAAACAAGACGGTGCAAATGCACTCACCGATGGCAGGCGCACATGATCAAATTCATGTGTACTTTGCTGGGTGACATGGTGGTTGGGCCGGTTCAAGGGTAGGGTCGACGGAGGGGTGGGATGGATGTCAAGGCTGGATGGCTGCTGGTAGTGGTGCGAGGCAACGTGCGATGCGGCGGGCGGATATGAGGCTGAGGAGCGGGCCGGCACCATGTGCTCCACTGGCGCAGGCTGCCATTCATGTATCTCTGACCGGATGTCATTACTGGCCCAGGCGGATGTAGGAGGAGGGTTTGGCGGTTGCAGAGGCGCGGAGCCGTCTCCGGGGGGGTAGTGGAGATATTGAGCCGGCGACGGGCCGGTGTACGAGTCGTGGTTCACATTAGAGTCCGCTGGCCAGGAGGGCGTCGCTAGGCCATACAAGTGGTCGTGGTTGCTGGCGGGCTGCTGGTAGCTGGTGGTAGACATGAAGGGCTGCGCGCGAATTCCGAAAGCTAAATGGGCTGCGCAGTTGTCGTGATGGGCAGGTGCGGTGTACAAAGCATCGATGTCGAGAAGTATGGCTACGGCAACGGCAACGGCAGGATCTGGCCAACCGTTGCAGCTTCGCGCTCTCTCTCGCTCTCGCTCTCTCTCTCTCTCTCTCTCTCTCGCTGGGATGGCTATCGTGGCAAGGGCGGGTTGCGGGCGCGTGGGAAACAAGACCGGGCTATCCTTGGCGAAGGAGTGAGCTACTTACTTGCTTGCTACCTAGGTAGCTATGGTGGCTGGCTGCCTGCGACAAGCTGCGTGGGCTTGGATCTTCGCTACCTGGGCGATGGGAGCGTAGCAAGCTCGCAGCGCAAAGGAAGAAAGGCGCGAGGCGCGAAGAAGTGGCGGACGATTCTAGCTTCCGCTCGGCTACCATGTTTGGACTTAGGGCTGAAGCTCCCCGCAATCGAATACGTAGCAAAGATGCCCAATGCTCCCATTGCATACATAATTGCTCCCAGTTTCCCATGCTCCCCTCCACAAGTTGACGAACCCTGCCTCGAGGCTCGCACTCAGTGGAGCATCCCAGTAGAGCATGAAACCAAAACTGCCGGCATACCTACTACCATCTTGTCGTCTTCGAGACCCGAGATCCGAGATCCTGTTTCTGCGTCCTCGATAGACAGTGTATCGGTACCGCCTGGGACGAACACGACGGGACATGTCATGCCATGTCCTAGGCTGGGCCCTATCTGTGGCCCACCGGTTGGGGCGCACACGCGCTGCTCGCCTCGCGACAGCCACTTCCCCTGTTCCGTGGTATGCCGCCCGTGTTGTACAACTGGATAGCACAGTGAACGGTCGTCTCTGCATGACGGGTACCTAGTCGACGACACCTTCCAGGCTCCAATGGTTTCATACCTCACAGAACGGCTCCATTGCGCTCCGCGGGACGGGCCTGTTGTGCTAGATTCCGACTCACCCCAAAGTCCATAAAACGCCCGTTATCCAAAGCGTGAGATGATGCTTCCGCTGTCGATCGGTGCCGTAACAGTATGCCCTCCCTTCCCTCGGTTGAAGGTGTCCGCTTGGCCACGGTTGAGGATCTTCATCGCATTGCCATTGTTGCTGCTTCTGCTTTCTTTTGGTCACCCACCTTCCAGTTCCAGCGTCCCAGATATAGAGACTTCCCAGCAGACACGGTGGCTTCCTATCTGTTCGAATATGAAGCCGCAATCCATGATCCAACATGCGCCGTATTGGTCGCCGAAGACAAGGTGGAAAGAAACGAGGCCGACTATGTCTATGAAGCGCTTCAGGGCACCTATCAAGCGGAAGACCAGAGTGGAAGAGCTATTGTAGGCGTGTGCAGCATCATCTTGAAGCCAGACTCGATCTTCCTGGGCCATTTTCAACCCAGGAGTGGAATCACTGCCAATCTGGCAGCACAGTCAGACTCATCGACTGATGGATCCAGATGCAGGCCGACTGCTGACCGCAAGAGGGACCAGTGTGCTCTCTCTGTGGAATTGTATAACAGAGCTACTCAGCCTGCAAAGTCCCGGTATGCATACGGCCAGGCGAAGATGCCGTTATTGACAATGCAATTGCAGATATCTCAACGGCAAGATGCGCCTCTCCACTCTGGCTGTCGCGCCAGCCTACTGGCGACGGGGTCATGCAACAAGACTCGTCGATTTCTATACGCAACTAGCAGACTCGGATGCTGCAATACTGGTGAGTGCCACCGGGGCTCAAAACGTAAATGCTCGGCCGCTCAGTTGAAAACAATGCAGGGAGTGTCAGCAACACCTCGCGGCGCTCTTGTAACAGAGCGAGCTGGCTTTTCCAGGTGTGAACTCGTCCACGTCAAGCGGCCACCCGCTCCAGGCAGGCTGCAATGCGAGGATTCCCCCCCAGACATGGCAGGCTGGGAAGCTCACGCTGCTCAAGACGTCGAGCTCTGGTCCGTCACCGCCCATGAACAGAACTCCATGTCAGCTACTTACCACACCCCTTTTCAGGATCGGACTGCGGCTGCCCTCCAGCAGTAGGTCATCTTCCGCCAGCATCACGAGTACGTCAGACTCGCCGACAGACTCGCAGTAGGTAAGCCTCAGGGAAGTGTTGATCGGTGTGAGAGCTTAGCGTATCGAATGTCGGGTGTGGATTGTAATATTGTGGTAACTCGTGTAAGGGCACTGGTCGGTCGGTGTGTATATGTGTGTGTATGTGTGTGTGTGCCTGTGTATGCGGTAAGCCAACAAGGCGGTCGCCATCAAGCTTCTCAAGTAGGAATGGACCCACTTTTTGGCCATTGGTCTTGAGAAGCGCGCGTGTAAGCATTTGCTCATCACCTGATTCTTCTAATGCGAAACTAAAAACGACCATGGCAATTTGTGTGACAACATATGCTGTGGCGCACACTATGTAGTTCCAATTCATAGGCCTATCACACTTCTCCACATCCAGCAGACCCATCCATGGGAAAGTCGTAAGTGGCCTGTTATTGGCTATCAAGTGACCATACCTAGTACATATGCATAGCACTCCCACCATCTCATCTTCAAGACACAAACTCCAACTAACTTAATACAGCAAGACCTATCATTAAAAGACTTTTCAAATCCTAATCCCCCCTCACTACAGAAACACCCTCTCCCAAAATACGGGAACAACCATATCCAGAATATAGTGCGTTTCATCCCCTTCACGCCTTACTCTTCTTACCCTTGCCCTTTCCCTCTGCCTTTCCCTCACCCTCCTCATTCCCCTCCCCGTCCTCGCCATACATCTTCCGCTTTCCCCCCTCCGCATCCGCAATCCTCGACGACTTCCTCGTCCCCTCTGTCTTCTCCTTTGTCTTCTTGGGCGCAGCAGGCTCTTTTTTGTCTTGCTTCACGGGGGCATCCTTGGCATTCTTCTTGCTCGGGGCAGACTTTTTGGCTGCGGTGTTTGCTTTGGGTTTGGAGGGTTTCGCGTTTTCCTTGTCTTTGACATCGTCTTCGTCGTCGTCTTCGTCGTCTTCGTCGTGCTTGTCTGAAGCGGTGGATGTTTCCTTTTCCTTCTCGACCTCTTTATCTTGTTTCTTTTCTTCTTCCTTTTCCTCCTTCTTCCTCTTCCCCGCAGACTTCGGTTGCGGCGCCCCCTTCTCTACCCCACAAGTCAGCCTCACATCCACCTCGCCCACACCGAACTTCGCAGAAAAAAACCCCAAGCGCAGACAAAAGCAGGTAACGTACTGGGTTCATTCTTACTCCCAGCCTCATTCTCATACCCCCCACCCCGCCTCTCATACTCCTTTGACAACTCTGTAGCCTATCCGTCGTCATAGTCAGTATACCATGCGCCCAAGTACTGACCCTCTCGCATCACCCCAAATGAAACCTACCTTCCAAGCACTCCACTGCCCCTTGCCCCCGCCGTCTTTATTCGTCTTCTGCTTCACCTCCTCCTTGACCTCATCATGAAGTTTCTGGTCCGTCGGCTTGCCCTTGCTAGAGACCCTGATTCGAAAATATCAGCGCTGGTGTCGAACACATCTACTCAATCGAAAGGAGAAGAAAAAAGAGAGCCCCCATCCATCCTGCCTGTCCGTAACAAGTAGACACGTTCATGCCACCCAAACTCCCACACCACCGAAAAACAAACAAACAACCGGCTCCTACATACATTTTCCCAGTCCACCGGTTTTTCGTTTCCAAGCTTATACCCCAGATAAATACCTAGCAAGTATATATTGCGCGACGCGTAAGCACTTCAAAAAACAGACAGTAGACAGTAACAAACAGACACGTAAATCCGTCAAAAATCCAGTAAAAACACAATCTCGTCTCCCCGGGGACATAAGTGAGTCGAGCTGCACTAGCGGCACCAAGACCTTTGTTTACATGTGATGTCATAGACTACCCGGTTCTCCATCATCAATGGAGGCGCGGGGGCTGGGTCGCATGCAACACTTGCGACCATCGGATCACAAATCAGGATGCAAGCGCGCGCATTCCACAGCCACGGGGTTGGATGGGCTAACTGCATGTGGTGCAAAATTAGCAGAGGGCTGGCTGAGAGGTGTTGCACGTGCACGGGAAAGGGGTGGGGGGAATGGATGGGTCGTCTGGGGTATCATGGAGTCATGAAGAGATAATGGGACGGTGACCATGTACGACAAGTGGACAAGTGCCCGCGTATGCTCGCTCCGTGATACTTCTTTCCGGTCAAAGTATATACTCTCCCTATTATATGAATACAAGATGCCAAATAATATTCGCAAGACTCAAACACGATGCTATCTATCATGATATCTCTCTACCTGCGTTACTTCACCTCTACTTCCTCCCCTGAGAATCCTGTCCTTGGCTGTCCTTCCACTTCTTCTCCGCTTCCCGGATAATCCTCTCCGACTCCCCAATAAGATCAGTTCCCACCCTCCAGCTTCTCAACAAGACACCACGTTCCCCGAGCACCTGTTCAGCTCTTGCCCATCGTTGTCGCCACAATTGCTCTCGCTTAGTACCGTATTGTTCGCCTCCGACTGTCCCAATTGTGGAGCCTGTATTCGTGCGATTCAGCCTTTGCAGTGGCGCCGCGCTCGAGAAGGGTTGAGACGTTTGCATGGAAGTGATTTGGGGGCGACTGGCGTAGGGTAGTGAGGGCGCGTGTTGCCATGCTGCTGATGCTTTGGATCCTACATACGAAGCTGCACTTGAAGCCGTTTCACGGTTTCCACGGCGGGGCGGAGGCGGTGGCGGCGCCTTTCTGCCAGTGTCGGCTTCTAGAGTGGACGAAGACGATTGTGGTGCATCGTCTGTGGACCGAAGTGCAGGTAATGCATTATATACTGACCAGAGCTTTTCACGGGCCATACCTCCGTATGATTGTTGGCTCTGTGATTGGCTATCATAGATAGATTGGGGTTTGGGCACGGCGACTGGGTTCGTGTCATGTGTGGTGTTGGCGGACGAAGGCTGCTGTGAGAGCGGACTGGACTGGTTAAGCGTTGTTGATGGCTTCCGAGGCTGAGGTGGTGTTGGCTTTTTCATCATCGCTGGGTTTCCTGAACCCGAGTCGGCAGAGGCGCCTTTCAGAGCTGCAGGTTTTCTTGGGGGTGGAGGTGCTGATTTGGGAACAGCGCTCGATGCTGAATTGCGGTCCTTGCTGGGAGTATCCTTACTATCCGTGTATACACGCCTCAGTGCAGCAGCGCGATCATGCTCGTTGTCTGATGATAGGTCTATCAGGTTTGGTGTCGATCCCGTCCGACTGGATGGAGATGGCTGAGAAGATTTTCGGGCTGGCAGCGGCGGCCTGCTATCTGGATGCTCGTTGACGCCATGTTGAGATGACTTAGCATTTGATCGCCTGCTATTTTCTTCATCCATGTCACGCAGGGACGCTGCTATCGCGGCTCGGAGTTCAGGATCATCCTCCTCTGACGGACGGGATTTGCTGAGTCTTTGGGTGGTGCTATCACCTGCTTGTTGTGTTGAAGATGCATCTGAGGAAGAATGATTTTCACCCATTGATGGACTGAAGAATCCAGGAGTTTCAGTGGTGGTCGTCACATCGCGAATAAAGACTGCGACAACTCTTCCAGGATTCTCGATGACAAAGTCGCTGTATACCTCCAAGTCAGCTTCTCCACTATCTCCAATCAGTATGAAGTTGCGTTCTGGGAAGTCTCGTGCAATCTTGTCCAAAGTGACCTTCTTGCGTTCCGCCACTGGTTCAAAGATGCCTTGAAGCATACCGCTGTATTGCTTCAGATGAAATGAACCAGGTGGTAATCCAGCGAGCGAGAAGTACTTTGAAATCACAGGATAGAGCTGCCATGGTGAATTCGAGACGTAGTGAAACTTGACCCCCATTTCTGCCATGCGATTATACCACTCCCTCACGCCATCGATAGTAAGATCGGCCAGATCGCGTATGAAGACGTTGCGGAATATCTCGCGAGCACCACTGCTGATGGCTGAGTGCTTAATCGTGTCATCGATGTCACTGATCACGCTGATGCCTTGTGCATCCGTGATGAGCACCTTTTCTGTTGCTGAGAGCTTGTCGGACGCTAAGATTCGAACATGGGTAGGTATAAAGTCTAATGCGGCGCTCATGCTGAAGTGGCCCGATGCATCAGTATACACAGTTCTCTGCTTCGATATCTGGTCATTGTAGAAGAACACAGTGATTGGAGTGTTGGCCATGGGGATGGCTAAGAAATGTCGCAGTCTGGCCATGAGTCTGGCATTGGCTTCCGCCAACTCGGCTGGACTCATCTCTGAAGGTTGGTTCCAGGAAGTTCTCTTTTTTAGCGGCTGAATGCTCTCCTCGCTTCTCATGGAGCTGTTGGATGTGCTGTGGGCCAGCTGTCTGGCCCTAAGATTGCCAGCCCGCATGTCGCCGCCGCCATCTGGCCGGTATGTTTCTGTGTCATCGATGTCTTTGGCCGGCTTCTCACTGTAGGCTCCCATGGCGGCCATTCTGGCTTCTCGCTCGCCCTTGCGAAGGATTTCTTCTGCCTCCCTAGCCGCGATTGCTTCGTCGCGTTGTGCGTCCCGCATATGGGTACGCTCCCGGAAGCCATGGCGTGACGGGCTGGTATCACGGCTGCTGGCCGATGAAGTTGACTCCGCTGGAGGGGCTTGGACACCGACCAATTGTCGCGCGAGGCCAATGAACAACCTCTGTTTTCGCGACATCTGGCCCTTGTGCGGCGAGTAGATCCAGCCACGGACATCGACATCGACCACAGCGTTGTCGTCCTCGTAATTGTCCCACTGCTTCTTCCAGAACTCGGCATCTCCAGCGCCCGTCGATTCTCGAACATCGCGGCCCTCGGCTTGGTCTTGCTGGATTGTGCCAGGCTGTACATCTGGCTTCCTCTTGATGTGTTTCCTGGCATAGCTAGGGAACAAGATCATCTCTTCCTCGCCGCTCCGCACCACAGCGGCGTCGGGAAAGGCACCCGCATCATCCTCGCCGTTGTAGTCATATTGGGGTTCCTTGCTGCTCCAGCTGGGGGCGTATTGCTGTGTGTAGCTCTGTCGGATTTCATTGGCAGCCTTGAGATAGCCCGCCAGCTTCCTTCGCCGAGTACCCGGCTCTCGTGCCTCATAGCTTTCCTGGTACGTCATTTCTCGATCCTCCGAGGTCTGTGCTGCAGATCGCTTCACGAGATGCTGTCGACGCGTTCTTGCGGCATTTTCAAGGTAGCCGCTGCTGCTGCCGCTGCCGCTGCCGCCTCCTATAAGCCTGCGAGTATGGCCCCGCACACGCTGGAGGATGGTCTGCCTTCCCTGGAGTTTGAGGGCCTGGCGACGGAGAATGTACTGGTAGATGCGCGACTGTGCACGGTGCTTGAGGGCAGGGAGGGTATCGAGGCGGAACCTGGAGAGCTGGTTGCGTGCGCGTGCGCGAGTCTTGGGAAAGAGGAAACGAAGGAGAGACGACGAGGCAGTGTGGGCGGAGGAGGGCTTGCGGCGGAAGGGCAGTTTGGGCATCCAGCCGACCGGAAGACTGCACGTCCGAGGGTCTGTCTGTCTGTCTGTCTGTCTGTCTGTCTGTCTGTCTGTCTGTCTATCTGTCTAATGAAACAAGACTATTGGCCATGGAAGACTGGGATTCATTTGGGTTGGCAGATAAGCAAGCACAGGAACAGGGCCGCAAAGGCATTGACACTTTGACAAGCTGACGCTCGAGGCCTGGAGGGCGAGTTGATGTCATGGGGAGTCAAGCCACGTGCGCCACATCCAGGGGTCCACCCCCCATTGGCAACAAGCATTGTGCCGTATGGCATGATACCTACCCTATGTATCATTTTTGTACTGACTAGGCTATGTAGGATGGCTTTAAACAACAAAGCTGTCATAGAGTATGCTAGAATGCAATCCAGGCTCCTCTGTCATTTCTGAGAAAAGGCTGCATCCAACGCCATTGCAAATTCAGGCACGTCCCGTTCGAGCGCTTCCACCACCTCTCTCCATATCCTCAACCCTAGCGCCTTCATCTCAGGCCCAGCAAGACTCGGTGCAACGGGCTGGACAACATCATGTTGATAGAATCTACCGTGCACACGCTCGCCCTGAGCAGTCACGCTCAGTATCGTATTGGCCCCTTGCGACGGTGTTCGCATGAACAACAAGACGAATAGGCAGGCCAATACAAATATCCCAGGGAAGAAGTGGTCACGCCCTAGATTCGTGGTGCACAGTCAGTTCCATGTTCATCTTTGATCTGTCTGCACCAGGCTCGTGTCTTACCGAGATCGCTATGGACCCAGCCAGGACAGATGCTGGTAATAATGACGTCTCCAGAGCTGATTTCTTCGGCAAGCTTGTTTGTCGCATACATGAGGAAGACCTTGGAGAACTTGTACTGGCTGCCTTCTTTGAAATTCTCCTGCTTGTTGTAATGTTCGAGCATCTTGGCTTCTGCTTGTACTTGTGAGGGAACTACGGCCTTCTGATGTAGGCCGGAATTGACCAGCTCAAGTATGGGTATCCGACCAGTCTGCTGTCTTGATGCTCGTAGTTTCGGTATCAGCAAGATGGCCAGCAGCGTCGTCGACAACGTGTTGACTTGGATATCTTCTTCCCATCCATACTTGGACTGCATAAAGGGTCGTCTTCTTACGCCAGCATTTAGAACCACGATATCGAGATGGACCAGCTGTTCTGTACGCTTTGCGAATGACACAACACTAGCATAATCCATCATGTCCAACGCCCACACTTCCAACTGCTCATTCCTACCCAAACGAGAAGCCAACTCGGCCTTGACCCTCTCGCCCTTCTGCAAGTCTCGCGCGGCAATGATGACCTTGGTAGCGCCTAAGGCTGCGAACTTGAATGCTGCTTCTTTTCCAATGCCAGACGTGGCTCCCGTGACGATGACGTTCCGTCCACTGAAGTCTTCGTCCACTGTTTTGGGTGGGGTGATCCATTTGTGCTTGAACACGCCGAACATGGCAGATATGGCGTTCAAGGCGATTAAAATGCAACAAGACGAGATCTATGCAAAGTATCTTTGTGGTGTCGTGTTACAATTACCCAAATTCCTTAGACTTTTGGTGCATGTACTCGGAAAAGTTGGGGGATTAAAGAAACGCAAAGCAGAGGAGCATGCAGAAAAGACACAGTGACTATATACCTAAGTTGGGGTAAAAAGGAGTAACAAGACAGACTTGCGCAAGGGGAGTCTGCAGCCCAATGGGTGGTTCCATAACTGGCATGTGATATGGTATGGTAATCATGTCCTGACTCGCAACAACGAACTACTCCAGGAACGGGTGGTGACGGAATAGCGTAGGCCGACTAACAAGTCTTGGCGCGTGCCATGCACTCGGCCATTTTGTGCTCCTCCAAACGACGCGGGACAATGGAGTGAACGTACCTACAACCACAACAACCAACCAACCGCCCATGCGCTCGCCATGCTGAATCTCCCGACCCAAATCTCACCTTACCGCTGATCACAACTCCCCCCCCCCGTCCACCACCTCTTTTTCTTACCTACCCACGCGAAACAAAATAGCTCCCCGCCATGTCCTTCCACGCGAACCAACCCCACGGCGGCGGTCCCCCGAACATGGCGCAGAACTTCAATGCCATGCTCCAACGCTCCATGCAGGATCCAGGGCAATTAGAAGCGCCGATGGATATCCCCGGCCGACCAAATTCTTCCATTGGTACGCGCCGACTCGTCTGGCTGACTGGCTGGCTGTCTGCCTGTCTGCAACAATCGGAGCATATCCGCTGACTGAATGGAATACAGGATACGGAGGGGTGTACAGCGCGACTCCACCACCACAGCATGGACCTAATGTTCTAGGCGGTGCACGGGGACCGCCTCCCCAGCAAATACTCCCTTTGGATTTACCTCCACAAGCATTCTTGACCTCGGCGATGCTCTTGGACATGGTTGATAGTACGGCGCACACCCAGGCCACGATTCGCACATACAACAACAGATGCTAACACCACCACCACCTTTGTAGAAAAAGTCGACATTCTCCTCCGCGACGAGAAAGAATACATTGGTATCCTACGCTCATACGATCAATTCGGTACATACACCCACACAGTATTCCACGCTTCAGCCCGCTAACCCCCCCACCCACAGCCAACCTCGTCCTCACAGAGTGCTACGAGCGCATAGCCGCCCGCAACCCCGATGCCACGCCCTCGTCCGACCCCTCGATACCGCGCTGGCTCATCCACGACGTCAAACTACCCGGCATCATGACGATACGAGGGGAAAACGTGACGATTTGCGCAACCGTCGATTTAGACCGCGAAGAGAGCCCCCGCGGCGCAACCTTTGCAGACGTAGATCAAGTCCGCACCCTGGCCGCGAGCCAAAAGGCAGAGAAGAAAGAGACGGACGGCCGAAAGGCAAAGGTGTTGCGTCAGGCTGGTATCGAGCCTGGGTTTGGAATGCAGGCATAACGTTATAATTTGTCCTCCTTTCGCACGTAAGAAAAGCCCGTGCGCAACTGTGAGAACGACGGGCAAGAAACCCCCCCCCCACCTTCTCCTCTCCTACTAAAGCACACGTCGGACGAATGATGGCCAGACTCTGACATGAGTCTGACACCATAAGATGGGGATTTCTTCGCTAGGCAAGGGAGAGAGCGAGGTGAGGTTTAGTGGCGGCGAAACAAGCAAGATAGATGATAAGATTTAGTTTCGGGGGACTTTTGGGGGGGGGGGGGGGATGGGAGGAGGAGGGGGGAAGGCTTTGGGGCTTGTCATGATGACTATGATACCAGGACATTTGTAGTGTCCAAATCTGCAGATCGAACAAATGATAAAAACTTCGATATCTCCCCATAGCAAAGAAACAAACATCGTGTTGACATATATATCATATTGAGGGGGCGAGAACAAGTCTGTTGACGTAATGACACGAGTTCTGTGCTTCATCACCAAGATGGAGGCATAAATATACACCCATCCACCTAGGTCGAGAGGACATGCTAGGATGAGATGGACAGAAGGTCTTGGGGTTTTCCTATATACGCGGTGAGGGTTGCCAGCGCAGTTACAAAGACATTTAATAGATTGGATGCTGCGCCATGTTCCATCACACATGCGAGGATGAACAAGAGCGCGGGCTAGGAATTTAGGACATGAGACACACGACCGAAATACAATGTATGAATGGGCTGGGTGTTGTTGTGAATCAGGACTAAGGCATCAATGCATGCTGGAATTCTATCTTACTTGGTGTTGCAATTGAAAAGGGGGGCTAAAGTGGACACTTCGAACCCTCTAAGAATCAAGATGGTCCTGTACTGTTTTGCCAGAGGATCAGGTGTGGTAGACAGTAGAGTTCGCCGCACGGTGAGGAGGTGCCTCATGTTTTTGGGCGAGGCTGCTCACAGTGTCAGCTCATGCGATTACTATGCATCTGTGTCCAACCAAGAGAGGTGTACCTTCATCGCACGTTTTGTATCGAGGCCTTCTTTTGTGTGGTAGATGCGCCTCGTGTGTCTTGTGTATTGCCTGGGAGGACTGTGTACAGCAGCTGCCAGTGTTACAGCATTCACCCATGCATTGTGATGGGAGTTGCGGCGGAGTGTAAAGCAATATCGTAGTGGTAAGCGTCCGTTGATTTACGTTGTGTGTGCACGTTTAGAGCCTAGGTCAACCCAAGATCATGGTGCTGCCGAGGGCCGTTCAGAGTGCAGCCCTTCGTCTCGATGGCATGCTCTCGTCTACCTCTCGCGGTACAATATGTTTGAATATGTATGTATGGGTAGGTAACGAATCCAATGCGGAGACGAGTGTGGATTTCGCCGGCGTCTGAGCCCCTTCGAAGGCTTGGTTAAGGCCACATTTGCGTTGCATGAATGGTGTATCGATGGACGGACGGGTGTTGTGTAGCCATGAGCGTGATGGCTGTAGACTTCGGTGTGCTCTCAGCGGCGGAAGTAAGTCCGTGGGGTGGAAATGCAGTTGGTTGCTAGACTCTCCGTCAGAAACTTCGGAACTGGCCGATATACCCAGTGCCAGCAGGACTTCCCACCGTCACACGAAGCGCCTTGAGATGTGTGGTATACAAACCCTCACTATCCTGATCTCTGCCAAGTCTCCTTTTTATGTCGTTAATGGCAGTCAAAGCACGGCGTCACTAGCCCAGTCTACCTATTAGGAAGTCTTGCCAGGCTGGCATTGGACACCACTTCCGCCATGTTCAGTTCGAGCACAGCTGATGATGCTCACGGCTGCCTATGGCGGCACAGCTGGACATGGACACAGAGGCCCATCGAAGGCGTCGATGGGCATGGTGAGATTACTCTCCCAGCTTGCGGCTAGGGCCCGCTGCCCACGGTACATCCTTGCAACTAGTCCGCGTGAATGGCGGCAAGCACATTGTGGGCCCTCCAACAAACACGAACGCACCCCCAAGTGACTGTCGACGTGCAGTGAGACTGCCAATATACACGGCCGGTTTGAGAGGGGCCCCCCTGGGCTCTTTGGAGACATAGTGTTGCACTCCTAGATCCCAGCAAGGCGTAGTCGGAGAGAGAGGGAGGGAAGGAGAGAGAGAGAGATCCGAGCGAGCACGACACAACGACGGCATCAAGCAGAGGAGCAACGTACCTCCAATCTGGGAATGGCAGACATGCTCAAGATGGGAGCCAGTCAGCATGTCTCGTCCTCATCGGTAAGCACTCCAACCACGATGCGTTGGCAGGGTGCTCGAGGGATCCGGGCCGGGAAAGCGTTTTCACTTGAAGACATGCTGCATGTACAGGAAAGGATGTCGTTGTGGATGGGGGCGGGGAACAAGGATGAGGATGAGGATGAGGATGAGGATGAGGATGAGGACAAGGACAAGGACAAGGATAAGACGGAGACGGAGGCGGAGACTGGGAATGAAAGGGAAGAGTGAATGAGGGCAGCGTGTTTACCTCTGGGGGCGAACGGTGTGCGGTTGTGGCTGCCCTCGACATGGATATGGCAAGAACTAAGCAGCTAGGGTACCAGTCTTTGAACACTCTGAGGACGACCAACTTCAAACGCTGCACTCCCGCCTCTCACCCTTCCATCCTCCCTTTGTCTTTCACACCATTCGACTACTCCCTCACAGTCCAATCCCATGTCGCCAATTCACGTCTGTGAGGCATGTCCGTGTGCCTATGGTGTTACATGGCAGTATATGGCTGTGTACCGTATGGCTTGTGTCCATCTCAGGCCGCCGTTCTGCCCGCGCGGCTGACTCTCCCGTACTAGCTCTACCTCCGCATACACATGCACACACACACACACACACACACACACACACATACACATACACACATTTCCTCTCTCCCTCCCTCCCTCCCTCTCTCTCTCTCTCTCTCTCTCTTTCTTTCATCTCTTTTCATTCCCAGTCTGCTTCTCTGTGAGTCTCATTCCATGACTCTCCCCATAGTAGTCATTGAGACCCACAGTTCGACTGGCCTGCGCCGCTCTCTATTGATGACTCGTGGACAAGCAAGTTCACCATGACGACAAGGTTCGACGTTCCATATACATGTACATGTATTCGAAAGCCCGCACAACATCAGTGAAACGGATGCGCCACCTCGTTCGGCTGGTGCTGAGGGGGTGGTCCTTACGCAAAAGACGGACCATCACATCTGCCATTTCGTCGTGGGGAAGCAGTAATTATTTCGTATGGCTAGTCGATTGTAGCAGTGTTGAATGACGGAAGTACATGGTGCTCACCTCACAGAACTGCAGGACGGTCATACTGGTTCCTTTTACCCCATCTCTGGAGGCCTACCGACGTTGTTCTAGCATCTAGACACAAAGGCAACACTGCAACATGGTCCTCCACGAGCCATCGACGCTGCCAATTCTCCTTCGTACGCGAAATGAGGTGACCGTGCCAAGGCATGGTCCAGCAACCTTTTCATACACAGAAGCAGCGAGTTGGGACGGGCCGTCAGCCATGCAAGACATTGACAACAGCGACAGAAGTCGAAGATATGCAGGGATTGTATACAAAAGTTCCTCGGAACATCTCGGCTACATGCTGAGCCTCCGTACACTGCATTAGCATGGCCCTGCATCGTGTAACCTCTGTAGCTCAGGTCGCTCTTTCATCTTTGTCTCCTCGACATGACCATCTCTGGTCATCATCCTCTGGCTGACGGTCGTGTACGACTGCGGCGAGAGCGCAGCCGGTCAAGACGATGTATAGCTCTTCCGCTGCACCTCGCTGAGTGTACTGTGTATCTCACGCTGTGTGCATGCTTGCCGCTATACCTTGCGTTCCTGGGTATTGGTCTCGACGCTGCAATGATGAATCGAGACATGGACAGCTTAGCCGCCGAACGCGTTGTGTAAAAAGACAGGAATCCTCCCAAAAGATTATAGACCTATACATCCCGTATTGGGTCGTATGGGCGCGTCTCGCTAGGCGAATATTCCGAACGTTGTGGGCTTGACGATTGCAAGCTGCCATCCGACTGAATCTGGCTTGTCTGTACTTGTATTGGCGATCCCGACCCCGAGTTTGCAACGGGCATACCCTGCAGCATACTCCCTGCCTCTGCACGACGAAGAGTCAGCTAACGGTCCAAACAGAGAGCACACGAACACCAGTCTGTCGCGCATTGCACGAGCCCTGCACATCTGCACATACCGTATTTCCGCTGAATGTCTCGCAGGAGCTGGGACACTCGCCATTTCAGAATGATCATTTCCACGGCCGGGATCCCTTCTGCGCGTAGTCGAGCATTGATCCTCTCCAGCATTTGTTCCTTCTCGTTCGCAGGTATCAGTATCCATCTTTTCCAGTCTGGGTGCGCCTCTGCGAGCTGCCTAGCCTCGTCCTTCGTGATGAACTTGATCGGTTAGCCGAGAGTGTCTTCAGCGTCGCGCTTGAGACGTACATAGAAGCGGTCCCATTGCTCTTGGCTGTGATTTGCGGCAGTCCGGGCCTCCTGAACGGTTGCATTGATCCGAATACTCATCTTGTAGGGCGGCCGGTGAAGAAGGACAATAAGGGTAGGAAGCTTCCCAGGCTCTGGAACTACGAGATGCAAGAGAAGTTCGAGAATTTAGGGCACCGCGGTCCTACCCCCCGCTTCCGCCTAGCCTTGGCGTATATTTGTTTTCGAAGAGGCTGAGGTGAGGGACACTGACGGAGTTCGCAGGGCTCGGGCCAGAGAATCGGCGGTGGCTGAAATGCTTGTGCGTCATGTTTGGATGATTGCCATTGGTAGAATGCTCGATAGGTAAGAACAGTAATTTTATGTGTCTATTGCTTTTCTGATTTTCTCATGCAAGATGTTGCTTCTCGCGTCATATTGCCCTGGCAGTAAACCCAGAAATGACTTTTGTCAGCTTTCGCTGTTGAACTTCATGCTGTGCACCCAAACTCGACCGTCTCAGCACGGACAGATCGGTATTCGTCGGCAGCACCACCTTGCCAGTCCGCGCAGCAGATGGATTTGCTTTTGTCTGGCAAACACTGATTGTTTTGCTGCTTGTAGCACAACCCAAAAAAGGGGTGGGGGAGGGTATCGTCCCTTGGGCAGCAGACCGGGTGAAGAACAATGCGATCACGGCTCGTCTCGCCCGATCAACACGAAAGCGCTTCAGGAGTTGATGCCGGATCCTTGCCAGGTGCTCACTAGTGGGATCCTGGTGTGAAGACGGAGTTTTGGTACTGCATACGGCCGCTACCTGGTCGATCAGCCGTGCGCCTGGGCCTGGGGACACTCACTGTCTTCCAGCCCCCCATCCCCCCGGCCCGATCCTCAACGTGCAGCACGTTCAAGGACCATCCTGGTGAACGGGGCGCACTGCAGGTAAGCACATGCAACACAAGAACGCTTTTGATTCTCATCCACCTGTCCCACTATATAGGGGTCTTCTCTTGTGCTTTTGATCTCAAGACTTTCTTCTGTATGTCTTGTCTTGCTTCCTTGCTTTACCTGGTGCAACATCCTGCATTAATTGCTCGTTGAATACTATTGGAGCGTAGGTATTCGGTGCGACCTCGGTTCATTACTCGCCATTAAGCAAGAGGCCAACTGTTTTCCTATGTATCGTCAGTTTCATGCCTGTCTGCTCAGTGCTCTCCATGTCGCGCCATGCGTCCTGGGCAATGGAAAGAGCTCCTGTTAACAGTAGACATATGGCCAACAAATGCAACCCTATCTCTGCTGTTGACCGGTGGCATTGTTACCACAGCTGCCAAGTGTTACACAGGCTCATCACGATGCCCTATCAGAATGGTGCGCGTTGCACAGCATCAAAAGCGTGCGTGGTGCTGCGTGAATGGTAGCCAACTGCATCATCGGAGCCGATACCCACCTGTCTTCCTCAGACCGAATCGGAATACAGCCATAGCTTTGCACGTCAGACGCACTCACGGAGATATGTGTTACGTTCTAGACGTGTAGAGTGTGAGCTTCGAACATTCTTCAACCTGTCTTCTTCGCTCCGAAGCCTCCGATTTATGCAGCCTTACCGAAGGAGTTCCCCTTCGAAGTGTACTACTTACTGTGGGATCTATTGATAGCTGACTCGCTATTAGTACTTAGGCATGGCAAGCTTTTGTGTTCCTGGTGCCCGTTCGTTATTCCAGGTTAGCAAAGTATCTGCAGTGTGATGTCGCTTCAAGTTGTCGAAATTATTGCAAAAGAGATCAGGATGATCAAGTCGAAGAAGCATGTGACGATGGTGATGGTCACAGCAGGATTGCATGGATGTTAGCGACCTATGCCCATCCAGCCCGGTAATCCCGCGAAAAACTCCCAATTTCTGAAAAAAAAAAAAAAGGAACGTGGAATGTCTGAAATTGCGCGGTACAGCGGGGCGGGGTTGCGAAAGTCCTTTTCTTCCTATGAACTATATTAAGATGAAGGCCCACTCAATGAGGAATGGTCATACGCATACTTTTTCCACATAGCGGAGCTTTGTACTCTCGGTACGATCAATCTATCTCGGTAGAAGGGACGGGACGTTCAAGCTTTTCGCAAAAGATTGTACGGTTTCGCCTTGCCTGCCAAATGGAGTGGTTCGGTGCGATCCGAGAGCCAGTATACACCGACTGGTACCGCGGTATCCCGGAAAAGAACCATATTAGCGGAGTATATACATGCGCCACGAGGTCCGGCAAACTGTTTGTGGTTGACATAAAAAGTACCTACCGACAGCCACCTGCTTCGAGACTTGTTGTGTGACGTCCGACAATCAGTCTGTAACTCTCAAAAGTGTCTATCAGGTCTAGTACCGGTATATTACCACCCGGCAAAAGGTCCAAGCTTGGCGTACCGGTACTAAAAAGTAATGTGTCGTACGGAAGCATACGAAGAATCTTCTCCCATTCTGAAGAATTGAGGGCCTGGGTGTCGGTAGGGATAGATTGCCTTTTCTTCCCGCATGCTGTCATCCGGATACACAGTAGGTAAGCGCTCGGGAAAACATGCACCGAAATACGTGCGAGAACCGACAACATTTCTATCCGTTCAAGAGCCAGCCAGCGCATGGACACGACTTGAATATCGACTTTCCAATCGCGAATAGACACGATGGCCCCCGGCATGCCGACACAATGGATCGGCATGTACGTCAGAGTACATAGATACACCTACGGTGGCCTGGGCGTGGTCTCTGGGAGAGAAACAGCCTGTTTGTACCTGTTGCATTCCCGGGCTCCACGTCAAATCTTGTCAGAAATAGTCTCCATCGAGATTAGCACGCAGCGGCCTACTATAATGCGTCCACACGAGCTCCGGTGTCGCTCAGTCGAAACTCCTCTGGCGGACACGTCAAGAACACAATAGTCCAGGTATGTGTTGTAATGCACTCAAATCTCCATGACCGACTCCTCGGACGTGTCTCTAGCCGCACAATACGCACGAAATGCCGACTAAACAAGGTCGCGATCTGGCATTCGACCAGGTAAGTAGATTCCAATGCCCGCTGCAGATCCATAGCCAAGGTCACCGTCCGATTGCAGACCCATGGTCTGTGGACCGCATGTCCTGGCGTCGAAAGTTTACTACGAGTCATGGGCAGTAACCTCTGCGGCTCTGCCTAACCTACCTACATGATCTTCAAGTCTTCTGACGCTAAGCCCCTGACTTGGAGACGCATACCCGCAGGGTCACGTTGGTGCTTATCATGTTGATCGAAGGGTGACAGCACATAAAGCACACCGACTTGGAGGAAGTGACGTTCCGAAGAAAAAGTTTGACCCCCCACGCGGAGTGGAAAAGTTAATCCGTCGGTAAGCACTCGTCAAGGCTTATTAACGCTCCATTGTGTAGAGGTCATGGTGTACTTACTGTCATTTATGTCACTGCAGAGGTACTCTATTCTGCCGGCTAAAGAATAGGCTCAAAACTTGTCATCTTCCTTCATCAAGCAGTTCATGCGCCGCTTTTGCAAACTTCTTCAAAAGTAGTCGAGATGAAATCGAGTAAAACTGTGAGGAAGGATTCTTGCTTACTGTCTTACTCACGATCTACACTCACTCTCGGCATCAAAAGGCGCAGCAATGGCTACCCAAGCCCACTTTTTAACCAGATGAGCACACCTGGATAGGCGTGGCCTGCATGACCTATGTCCAACAGGTTGCAATAGGCAGTGCATTACCCATGTGAGACATAATCGTGGCGCATGTTCGTACCTCCATGGAAGATTTTCTTGAGCTGCTGTGGTGTTCAATCGATCAATCGGTTGATCGAGGACTAGAAGGTGTAAGATACTGGTTTGAGAAATTATCTAGTTTAACTTGACTGAGTATACATTGCCGTCTTCCTGGCGCTGTTATTCAGTACCGATGGACACGAAACAGAGTGCGGAGTAAAGAATGTAATTTATTATCCTCGGCCACATTGCCCTAATATCTCGAAATTGACATATTGCACTAAAATAACTACATCACGGGCTATGGAATAACCGCCAAATAGGCCACTACCTTCATCTGACTCCCCACCTCTCAACTCCCCAGCCAAAACGAAACTAGGGAAGGCGTAGTTAAGACGCAGGTCTACTTCCAGCACCTTACTCAACCAAACGGCACACATAATCTGTAAATAAAGAAACAATCAAGACTAGAATAATAAACGTGATCACTTTGCCAGTCTATGGGCCATACAGGCCTTGGATACATACAAAAACTTGTGTTCTCTAAACTAAAATTTTCCAGGACTTCCTCGAAAAGTCGCAAAATCTTACTTGCAATCTTGCAACCTGCTTTTGGTAAAAGGTCTAAGACTGATCGTGAACGATGGATTGATTAGCGTCTACTTTGCAAACCGCTCTTTCATTTCTTTCCACGGTTTTTACAATTATTTCTTCTAATGTACTTTAGAACTAGCCTTGGGTTCAAAAGACACAGTGAAGGGCTACCCAGAGCTTACCTGTCCAACTAGTAGAGCGGTCCTGCTTAAAAATTCACTGTTGATACTTGGAGAATATCCTTTCTATGGTGTTTCTGGAATTAGTGTGTGTGTGTGTGTGTGTGTGTGTGTGTGTGTGTGTGTGTGTGTGTGTGTGTGTGTGTAAGAATCTGTAAGATTGATGCAAAGTAGAGTCTACGTACATTAACAAGGCGTAATAGGCACTGGGTTACCACTCTAAGCTCTGATTACTGCCTGTTAATACGTACCCTGAGTGAGGGCTTATGAGATGTTGAACTATTCGAAGTATTCATTGGACATGCAGACTCGGTGGTATAGTACTGTGTTTCGACTATTCGAGGAAACAAGCAGTACATGTAAGGGGCGCATGACCAACAGTGTACAGTCCAAGAGCCGAATCTACTGAACGCCACGACTATAATTTTGCTTCTATCCCATGCTGCAGCTGCTTCTGTCTCTCATGGCTCAAGGTAGTGCCCATCACATGGCCACGCTGCAGCTTCAAAGTTCATGTTGAAGCAGAGAGAAAATTCAATTCATTCAAGAGTGCATGTTCCTTCCTCATGACAATATCCTCCCACCGACCCAAAACCCCGTCATCCACAATGCACCCCACACCGGCTGCACAACAGCCCTCAGAACCGCTGGTCCAGGACACGTTCCAGAAAGCCCCCAGCCGATCCCAAAAGCAGCAGCTCCCAAAACAAACTTTGCATCTATGTCCTTGAGCGTCTTTGTCGGCAGTGAAAACTGGTTTGCAAACTTTGGCGGTGACGCGAAGCCTCGGATTTGGTTCTCGACGAGGTTGGGTAGCACGCCGAAGAGGATGATGAGTGCGAGGGAGGGGTCCCATTGGTCGAGGACGGGGAAGGATAGGAATGATGTGACTTTTGCGGGGTGTGACATCCCGGAGATGTGGAGGCCGAGGGCAAAGAGGAGGCCGGAGAAGAAATTCGTTGCTATGCGTGGAGCGGAAAGGGTATTTGTTGGGGGCGCTTTTCCGTTGTTCTCTTTTTGGGAAGGGCTTGTCAATCTCGCGACGAGACCAGGTATTGTTCGGGCGGAGAGTATGCTCAGGGCTGTGAGAACGAGAAGGGAGGCGGCGTTGGCCGGTGAAGGATAGACGGGAGTGTAGCATGGTATGTTTCCAGGACACGCTGAGGTGCGCAGTGTAGGATGAGCGAGGTGATGTGTGATGATGGCGACTGGGAAGAAGGTAACGACTGCTACTGTAGAGCGACCGCTTAGTCGTGACAATCCACAGAGCATGTGTCCGGATGTACAGCCATTCGACATCTTGGATCCGTCAGAAACTTGTAGTGCTTTGCGAAACTCGCACTAGTCTCACCTTTGTTCCCCATCCTACTATGGCACCCAGTCCAAATGTGGCAATGGCAACTTGTGGTGTCAGTGTTACGGATGGGTAGGCCGTTGCCAGTTGCGGTGCCATTGCGTGCAGTGGAATGTAACTCAGCGCCATCCCAGCGAAGAAGGCGACCAGCTCCTTTGTGGGTCCTGAGAAGATTCGACGCAGCAATCCCGAAGCCCCCAAGATATCTCCATTCTGGTAGAGGAGGTTGCTCGTTGATTGATGGAGCAAAAGTGCGCCAATAGTGGTTTCGACAGGGGTAAACATTCCTAGGCTGGATTCTCTGCCTTTGTCTCTGGAGACTCGCTATTCACGATATTGGATCTTCAAGCGTATCAAAAAATGACATGAGATCAAGGAGAAGGGAGACTTCGCCCATCCTTAAAGGGTTCGATAAGCATCTCGAATGACCGGACATAGTACCCCATTCATCTTATATGCCCTTCCGGCGTCTCCTTCAGCACACGTCGTCTACCCCAGATCAAAGTTCCTGCGTGGATGCTCACTAATGAAGTAAGTACTGTTTGGACATCAATCGGCGACCAAAACGTGTAATGATAAAGTCTGTTGAGCACGGCTATCCGACATGTCGTCAAGGCTGACTAGTGGCGTCTCGGCTAGCGGCTTAGTTCTTCGTGAACGTGGTCTGCGCGTGGAGAGTGGGTACTTTAGCGATTGTTCTTGGAATGAAAGGGAATCTTTACGCGGACCTCATCGTTCTAGTTTGCAGTATGGCTGATGTTTGATAAGCAAACTTGTAAATGTGTGACAATCAACTGGTGGAAGGTTGTTTTAGACTGGCCATTGCTCGTACGATGTTTGTGTGAAAAGGCAAACTCTCTTCGCCGATTATCATTTCGTCGGCGATTGATTTGTGTGCTATGCCGGCATTCCCCACGGAGTACTACTGTTGGTGCATGTTTGTAGCGCGGGGCGACGTCGCCGGCGGTCATGGCGCATGAAATCCCTGTCAAGTGTCTTATGATAGCGGTAGGTAAGTTATTTAATTTAGTTAGGCGTGCGAGAGCACCCGTTGAAAATAACGCGTAAACACCAAGCAACTACACACATTGACTAGCAATAGGGACTTGAATTGCTTTTACTGACGAACAGTACCGTTCTGCCCCAGAATTCTCCTCCAAAATTCTGCAATCACAAAAGTGCCCAGGCACGAAACGGGGCGCAGAGTCAGTTTAGGCTCACGATTTCCACCTCGCCGACCTGAATGAAGCCTTACCGTAAGAGCTTTTCAATTGAACACTTGAGACTATACCTATGCCCTGCCCAAGATGGGAAAATTTGTGCAACCGCATTTCGGGGTCATGCTGTGACATAATTAGAAAGGGTGTCTATGCTGGCTGAAGCCCAGGTGCAGTACTTACTCTACCGGTATAGTTACACACCATCCGTACTTGTATCCATCCCGCTTACACATGCCTGGGCATGGGTTGCTTGCCTCACAGGATCGAACACATAAATTGGCAGAACTGCCAGTACAAACGCTTAGCATTATGGCCGATGATCTTATGAAATCGATTGATGACTTACATTGAACCTATTACTACACATGCCCCCCGATCACAGTTGGAATCGCATGTAAGCGAACCTACCCAATGATTCTTTGGTGGATATGCTATTAGGAGGAGGTTGAGCAGCATAAAAAGCACTAGTACAGACTTTTAGCAAGGTAAGGGCGGTTCTAAAATCCATGACGATAGTTGTGTAGAAAGGGCAAATGAGATGCAGTTTTTGTGAACTATACTGTGTATATTCGAGGAAGAACAGTAACTGTTAGTAGATATGATAAGTCAATAACTTATATACATAAAGTCGATGTCAAGTAATACTCACCTCTTGTGAAGCCCACGGGCCGGCCGGGCCCAAAGGAACATAGAGAAGCCTTCAATGATGACATAGTCATGCAAAAATAGTCTACTTTAATCAAAGTGAAGTAAAACTTGCCTCTTGCAACCCTCTTGAGTTCCCGTAAAGCATACATCCTAGCGCACGGTACTCATACAGTACTTTGATGGGCTGAATTATCCGCTTACCTACTGGCACAGCTCCGTACTATAGTCGACCTGCTGCGTACGATAGGTTGGTGTTGCGACTCCTAAATACAACGTAAGCACGGCATAACTACCATACATATCTGGTATTGATTTACTTGTACACACTTGCGATCTGGCAAATGCTGACTGTCCTCGGCACAACAGAATACCTAATTGTCCTAGCCATAACCTCTCAGTCATGTAAAGTGCGAGGTACCTTGATTGTTAGCAAGATCATTCTTACGAGTATGCATGTCTAGCTTAACATACGTTAGGAAGCGTAATATAGAGGGTTAGAGTGTGGTAAGGTAAGGATAAAGAACATATAAAAAAGTATGATCCCCTGCTATACGTATCCTAGCTACATGGGTATCACCTTTTGCTATTCTGTCCGGATATTAACCCAAATTGTCATTGTAAACTATCTACATTACATACACTGGGAAGATGTATTGGTAAGTTGTTAAGGGTTATCTATGCCTATATAGGAAGGGTGAGGATGATTAGTCTGGTGTGGTGAGCACAATCAAGAGCTCCTTGCAATCTTGAGGACTGAATATTGTCGGAGAAGATCCCGAGATGGCTCGAACATTCGAATAATCACACCGCAACTTACCCAACTGTCATCATCTCAACCCGTCCATCTCCAAGCTCACATTGTCTGCTCCAGAGCCGTAAACACCTCCATCTAAAATCCACTGCTCGTTATCATCATTGTCGTCTTGTACTCGTCGCCATGCCTGCTTTCTCTCGGATGACTTTTCCTTGCCTTTACTCTCATCCAGTTTGAAGGTAGGCCTGATCAAGCCTCCCAACAACGGATTTGTACTAAAAGCGCCGCTTCCTTTGGAGAGGCTCTTGTGGTAGTATGTCGTAGGCCCGGATGTCTCCTCAGCAGGTTCTTCTTCACTTTCCGGTGTTGCGGGCCGCTCGGTGGGAGCCATTCGGCGCACTAGCTTCTTGCCAGACAGATCGATACTGGCCACTACTTTGCGCTTCTCGTACTCGGGTCTGGCATTCCACTCTTGCTCACGCAGTGCCTTCTGTTGCTTCTTGAGTTGCATAGCACGCTCCTGTGGACTAGCCCACATACTCAGTCCGGCAGTCGTGGTCTCAAAGTCAGCAGCCTCATCGTGCACTTGTGTTCGCCTTGCATTCTGGGCTTGGAATGCGAGCAGCTTGTCCCTGTGCTGTTTGGCTTTTGCTAGCTTTTCATTTTCCAATTCCACATCGGATGCAGGATTAGAGGATGCTGGTGTAGTGGCTCCGGGTGTTGAGAATGGGCGTGGTGCTAAGGATACCTCAGCGCGCTTCTGACTGGCGTTGTTCGCGGCCATCTTCTCTTTTCCTCGTTCTTCCCGTAGCACGCTGACCATTGATTGGATCTCTGAGGCGCTCAGCAGTGGCGTGTTACAGAATGTGCACGGGCCGATGCCTTCTTTCACGCAGATGATCTTTCCGCAGTTTATACAGTTGGGCGCGGCCGCTAGGAGCGGATGTCGCGTTGCCATACAGTTGCACTTCCGCTTACCATTGTCTTGTGAAATCAGGCTGGGGTTTGTTTGAATCTCCAAGGTTCTGATAGCGGACTCTAGATCATTCAGAGCCGTCGATGCTCCATGCATCGGTGTGCCACCTGACAGGCTGATCTTGGTCTTAGACTTGGGCGATGAATTTCGCGACTTGGAATCTGAGATTAATTGGCCAGCAGCAGATGGAGGAAGCTTTGATTTAGGTGGAAGCGGTGAGACACTACGCGATGTCGGCGTGGCTGTTCCTGAAGAGGTAGCCGTTGTCGATATTTGCAGCGCGTCTGGCTTCTCTTGAAGGCCAAATTTTGCAGCTTTAGGTCTTGAACTTCCAGTCATATAATCCTCCTCATCTTTCTTGATGTACGCACCAGAAACGTTACCGTAGTCCTCAGGTCGCCGTGGCGGTGGCAGCTTTCCTAAGGCAGGCTTCTTTTTGCGTGCCTTGACCCGGGGCACTTCCGACAGTTGATTGAATGTAGACTGATGCGGTCCAGCAGAAGTCTTGGGTCTTCTGTTATTGAAAGATGTGATGAATTCAAGAGCTTGCGGGCTGCTTCCCAAAAGATTCTGAAGATGGTCTGCTGCCTCTGGGTTGGGCAATGACAGCGTGTAAGTGATGACTTCCTTGAGGGACTCATTATCCAACGGCAAAAGCCTCGACAATTGTGGAAGAGCCCAGGTTGTCAAATCCATTTTGATGTGTGTGGGTTGGTGTTGCTCTCAGACTTCAGCATCAAATGCTGGCCTGTGGTGGATGCATCATCATGACTCTGAACTAGTGGCTGTGGCGTCAGAGTGTGGCTGGTGAATGCGCCAGTGCCTGTGCTTGTCAGACTAGCATACGATTCACCATCACAGTTCTCAACCATAACCTCACTACATAAACGCGACATGGCAACCGACGTAGCACTCGACACCACTATTGTAAGCTTCTTCCCAGTGCAGTTAAATTCACATGACCAACACCTCTAGGGTACCATCGTGGTCGAGCTCTACAACGATCACGCGCCGAAGACATGCAAGAATTTCGCAACGCTCGCTCAGCGCAATTACTTCAACGGCCTTATATTCCACAGGATAATCCCGAACTTCATGATCCAGGGTGGCGATCCTACGGGTACTGGCAGAGGAGGTGAATCCATCTACGGCGAAAAGTTCGAAGACGAGATAACTCCGGCGCTGAAGCACACTGGTGCCGGTATTCTCAGTATGGCAAACAGCGGGCCTAATACCAATGGGAGCCAATTCTTCATTACATTAGCACCTACACCATGGCTGGATGGTAAGCATACAATATTTGGTAGAGTCAAGAGCGGGATGCAGATTGTTAAGAAGCTGGGCTTGGTCAAGACGGACAAGGAAGATCGACCTGTGGAGGACATAAAGATTATCAGGGCATATATTCCTGGGGAAGACAGCTTTGCGTTGCAGCGAACATAAGACGCGAGACTTGACAACGATCTCAGACGATGTGCTAGTCCTGTGCACTACCGGTCATTTTCGGGACACAAGACACAACTCCAAGATACTACCACTGCCATACACGCGTGTAATTACGGGTATGCGGCCAGATTGCTCGGATATGAAACGGTCTGGCAACTGGTTCGCTCCAGACACAAGCCATTGTAAACGGAGGTACCGTAGACGCAGTACCAGCGGCGGCCTTGGACGCATGTTAAGTCGAATTGGCTATGCACTGCAGACGTGATACTATGAGTTGAAAATACTCTTCAACAATGGGCCCCGCGGTTCCCTTCAGGCAAGAGTATCAGCTTGAGTCTGGCTGATGAAAAGGTTGGATGAGCTCAGGTGAGTTATGTTAGCATTGTAACCATCACAAGTAGTGATGTAGTCTCAAGTCAAGATATCTGTTCATGCGAAAATTGGCATCGATTTGTATTTCAGCGATGACATAGTTTGGTAACGGCACAATGGATACCAAGCTTATACAGTGTCAAGTTCATTCCAAAGTCCCGCTTTTCCAGGTTACCCATGTTGCTAGGCGTCGAGGTTGTAATGAGGGGCTATTGCGGATGCAGTTGATCAATTGAGGGGTAACTGATCGTCCTCATTCGGACCTAGATGCTGTCCCGTCATCATCCAAAGTTTAGTCTATGCTCCAGCAAGTCATATTTATTCCAGGTAGAGTACTTGCAACTCAAGTTATCCCCCGATCAAATCTTTGGCGCAAGACGGAAGAGGCGTATCGCAGCTTATACACACTTGACTCACCCCACCACCATTGGACACCGTCACAGCAACGACGACACCTTAGGCCAAAAAATAAAAGGAAAATATCAATCAGAAAAGGAGCTCTCGAATAGGAAAATGTCAAACACAAAGATGAAAGCAGTCCACTACGAAGGTCCACACAAGGTTTCGGTGAAGGAAATCGACCTTCCCAAGATCCAACACCCGGACGATGTGATCGTCAAAGTGACCACTGCGGCAATCTGCGGCTCAGATCTGCACATGTTCGAGGGACGCACGGCTGCAGAAAAAGGTCTTGTCTTTGGCCACGAGAACATGGGGATCGTGACCGAGACAGGCCCAGGCGTAACACTGCTCGAGAAAGGCGACAGGGTCGTACTACCTTTCAACGTGGCTTGCGGACGCTGTCAAAATGACGAGGAAGGCCGGACAGCGTTTTGTACCGGGTAGGCGGCTTGCGGTTGTGCAGATAGATGCACGTGTACTGACGTTGTGATAGCGTGAACCCGGGTTTTGCAGGAGGTGCATACGGATACGTTGCCATGGGACCGTACCAAGGTGGTCAATCACAATACCTGCGGGTCCCATTTGCAGACTTCAATGCTTTGAAGCTGCCAAAAGGCACGGAACACGAGGCGGACTTTATTTTGCTGGCTGACATCTTCCCGACCGGTTGGCATGGTCTCGTGCTTGCTGGTTTCAAGCCTGGCGAGAGCGTTGCAGTATTTGGCGCAGGTAAGCTGCTCACGAAGACACTTGTAGACAATGTTTAATTTTAGTCAGGGCCTGTTGGCTTGATGGCTGCGTACAGCGGTATCCTTCGAGGAGCAAGCAAGGTCTTTGTTGTCGACACAGTCCCCGAGCGATTAAAGCAAGCGGAAAAAATTGGATGTATACCTATTGACTTCAAGAAGAGCGATCCTGTGGAGCAAATCATCCAAATCAACAATGGCATGGTTGATCGAGCTGTAGATGCAGTGGGTTACCAGGCTGTAGACTCCTCAGGCAGCAAAGAGCAACCCAGCATCGTTCTCGAGCAATGTATAGCAGTCACACGACCGACTGGCGGCCTGGGTATACCTGGTTTGTACGTTCCAGCCGATCCGGGAGCGCCGGATGAATCGAGCAAGTCGGGCAAGATTTTAATCTCCTTTGGCAAGCTTTTCGAAAAGGTATGTTGCAATCGGAGAGTGGAAAGTTAATCGAAGATTAAAGTCAATAGGGCCTTACTGTGGGTACCGGTCAATGCAACGTCAAGGCTTACAACAGGTATCTGCGAGACATGATCATCTCCGGTAAAGCAAAACCTAGTTTCGTTGTCTCGCATGAGATTGAGATTGATGATGCGCCGACAGCGTATGAGAAGTTTGATCAAAGAATTGATGGGTATACAAAGGTGTTGATACACCCGAATGGCAAGTTGGTCGACTGAGCTTATAGCATGGGTAGTGCTTGATTATGCAAGACCCTTTCAGACTACCGTAGCGGTAGTAGCCGATAGAATGAAAACACTTTCAACGTACGCAGCTGTCTCAATAATGAACAACATGTCCTACAATCCCTTGTGTCCACCTCTTGTATATCATCACAGTCGATCCACTGAGTGAGCTCACTATCGATGTCATCCTCGTGAGAGAGTCGAAGCTGGAGAGCAATCAACAGTCGAACCCGACAAACGCATTAGAATACCTAAACCACATCACTCCTTCCCACAAAACCAAGGTACAAGCCCATATACCAGACATATACCAAACAACAATCGAAACCAGACACATCCCCATCCACACGCACTCGCCCCCAAAACCTTGACATTGCAAAACCCTCCTACCCTTTGACTTCCCGCACACTCAACCATCCACTCGCCTTGACCTTCATACTTCAATTTTAATTAACCGTCAATATTTTACCATGCCTCTGTGAAAATGCAGACAACCTGCACACCGACATGTCCTCGTTATTCCACTTGGCTCGAGCGCTGTAGCGGATCGCGGAGGCAGCGAGGGTGAAGTTGAGAGTACGGTCCTCTGCGTGCAAACGCCAACTGGGTGGGATATAAAAGGCTGTCCTGCCCTCTGCCGTCCACTTGCGACGATTTTTATACACGACGGGCAAGTAATCGGGAATTTTATATACTTCTACACTTATTATTGGTATATCAGACTTTGACTCTCTGCCTTTTCACACCGTATACCAGTGTACCATCTCCTCACCACAGCGTCTCCAAATCCGCTTTCACCCAACCTTTACTCGAAACCAGACACATCTCAACCATGAACCTCCTCCACCTCCTCATGGCATGTAAGTTCCCCGAGCCCCGTATCCATGCACTCCTCCGTCTCACGCCCACAAGTCCTCTTCGCCCTGCTCGCTGCAGCAAACCCCATCGCCAGCGCCGCCTCTTCCGCAGCCACTTCCACGCTCTCTCCCCGCGAAGACTTCATCGGCGCCGTGCTCCACAACAACTGCGGTTTCAACGTCTACGTCCACCAAGTCGTCGCGCAGTACGCGGGTTCGCGCATCGACGAGAAGGTCGAGTGCCGTGGTTTCAAAGTGCATACGACGATCGAGACGGTTGGGCCGTATGAGTCGTACAAGACTCCTTTGCCAGTGTACAGGGATACTTGTGGACATTCGAGTATGTATTCTTTCGTGTTTGTTGGATTGGTTGCGTGTTTTGTGCGCTGGTTTGCGGTCATGTTTTCACTCCTTCCTCATCACACACCTCCCAACGACGCCACAAAGAATCTTACTAACATCTCCCCTCCCTCGCATAAAGTCAAGGTCTCCCGTGTCCCCAATGGCAAAGTATACCAGTACGAATTCAACTGGTCGCTCGAAGACGGCCGGATATGGTACAACCTTAGCCACAACGACGCTAATCCCTTCACCGATGTCGCGAGGCAGATTGGCGGCCCAAAAGGTAGTAGTTGCCAGTACAGGCGCTGCCACCCGGGAAACAACGGCGAAGCTTGTGACGATCCACTTCTGGGGGATTGTGGGGAGGTGGGCACTTTGGTGGCTTATTTGTGTTAGGCGGGGGAAAAGACACAGATGACAGTGGTGAGGGATGTGTAAAGAGTGGGCGCCAGATTGAGAAAAGACGATAGATTGTACAATAGACATGCTCAAGAATAGAGGGGAAATATGCAGGCCGGAATTGGATAGGAATAGAAAGTATACCATCTGCAGATATTCCTGGGTGTCTTGTAGAGTTCACTCGCCTGCCGTCTACTTGCCACCACCAACTTCGACGAGTATTTTGACCTGATTATCCTTGTCGTGAATCAAGCTCTTGAATCCTTTCTCCTCCACTTCTGTTAATTTGATGCGCTGCGTAATCATGTCTGCTGGCTTCATACTGCCCTCGCTCAGCGCATTGATGACTTCTTGAAAGTCGCCCACCTCGTACGTCGCCACGCCGAGATAGGTGCGCTCCTTGAAATTGAAGTCATTCGTATAGATTGTGCACGGCTTCTCCCAGATGGCAATATTGACGATACACCCGCGTGCTCGTGTAGCGTGGACAGCTTTGGTGAGCGCTGCTTGCACGCCTGCACAGTCGTAGACGATATGCACGCCTTTATTCGATGTGAGCTCTTTGCAACGTTTTGCGACGTCGTCTTTGGCGGGGTCAATGATGTAGTCGGCGCCAAACTTCTTTGCAAAGTCTTGTCGCCGCCGCGAGACCTCGGATACAATAATCTTATCGCAACCCTTTGCTTTGAGCGCCAGGATAGTCGATATACCGATTGGGCCACCACCGAGAATCAGAGCAACGTTGCCAGGCTTGAAGGGGCTGATTTTGACGGCGTGCCAGCCAACTGCCAGGGGCTCGACCAGGGCACCAATCTCCAGAGGAACGTTGTCTGGGAGGTGATACAAGGTTGAGACGGGGACAACGATGTGGTCTGCTAAACCGCCGCCCCAGCCCGAAAGACCGATGAAGCCGTTTTGCCAGCAGCAGTTTTGGAGGCCTTCCTCACAGGCTGCGCAAGTGCCGTCGTAGATGATGGGTTGGATTACGACGCGATCGCCTGGCTTGTAGCCGGTAACGCCTTCGCCTACTTCTTCGACGATGCCTGAGAACTCATGGCCAAAGGTCAATGGGATCGTTTCTCCTGTAATCGGGTGGGGAGTCGTTGGACACAGATTTGGGCCTAGATGTTGACACATGGGGTTAGTTCGCGATCACATACAGACTGTACATTCAGGTGACTTGCCGCCGAGATACTCGTGCAAGTCTGTCTTGAAGTCAATGAAGGTTCTATTGGTGGATTCGAGGTGATATCCAACCTGTTCCACAGATGCCAACCCAGGCAGGCTTGACCTTGACCTGCCCCTTCCTGACCTGCGGGATCGGTATCTTCTCGAAACGGAGGTCATGCTGGCCATGGAATCGCAGCGCATCCATAACACCCTCACCAGGAGGAGGCGGTTGGTAGGTCTCGTCTGATGTCATCTTGGACTGTGTGTTTCCGCACTTCGATACCTACCTACCTATATCCAATAGCCGACTCTTGGAATTGAGACGGGTCAGGTCGGACGTGCAGTGTGAAATCAGGATGGAGGGAGAGAATGGCGCAAGTCATGGCATCGGAGGTGTTTAGCCATGCGGGCTATCTTCTGCCATTGCATGCATTTCACAGGTACGGAGGGGGTGATGGACAAACTACTTTGTCTGTGAGATGGCGGTATGCCTTAAAGGGGAAGCCTCGAGTGGACGACCCCGCAACGTCAACTGCGGGGTACCGGTAACTACCGGTAGGGAGGCGGTTTCCACTTGTCGTCAGCCACAGGCGCCACTCGAGGCAGCTGGATGACGGACAGAAATCCAGGCCACCTTTTGCTCACTCAAACGCTTTGGGGGACAAAGATGACATCGGCAAGCCCATTCCACATTCACTCTAGCCTAAGCGACTCGGAAACCTCCATCGTCATCCTTTCTCTCCGATCGGAACAAGTGTCGGAATCGCGATCCTACCAGATGGAGAAGATGCTATCGTCGACGTCCAGCCTTCTTGCCTTGGACCAGCCTGAAAGCCAGCCTGAAAGCTGAGACGTTTCCGTTCTGCCGCTTCTAGCAGCTCTCCCATAGACAAGACTTGTCAGGAATAAGCCATGTGCTGCAGGGTGCGGTGCCAAGTCTACATACCATGCCTGTCTATTGTATCGTAAGCTGTACGGTACCAACTCCAAGGGAGAGAAGGGAGAGGGTTTCTGAACAGCGACATATCCAGCTGTGGAGGCTGAAAGGCCTAGACATAAACTTCAACAGCTTGCGTGGGTTTGCTGCGCTGGCACCATGGCATTTGCAATGCCCATCGTCGACCCAAAACTTGGGCTTTGGTGTCCACCGAACAATGGAGACGTCCATCGATGCCGTCAATGTCGCTGTCGTTGACGCGTAGGTGACGATGCCGAAAAAGGTACAAAGTCGCACGAGCCGACTGACAAGTGGCCCAGAGCCAATCAGACAAGCGCAGTCACTCTTCACTCATGTCGGCTGGGGACTTCTAGATCTCAGTCTTTGTGATGACGTCGGTAGAAAACTAATGAGCCGATCGATTTTTTCTTATGGAGCGCATCTTCGACTCCCGGTAACGGGACACTCTAGATATGGCAAGTAAGTGTACGTTATAGTCGCCCCTCGCCCCTCGCCCCCTTCCTATAAACAGTGACCTTGCGAAGTTCTCCTTTCGCAAAAAATCACACATAGTAAATTACCTTCAATTCCTCAATCCCGCAATCACAAATCTCGCCATGCCTTACCCAGAAACCACTGACGCGTTTGCGGTCAACGATACCAAGAACTGGAGCACCTTTAAGCGCCAGGAGGTCAGTTCAACCATGGATTCTAATTTGCTTTCCTTCCAAAATGCTAAACATCCTTCAGTTGCCCCTCAAGAAGTTCGAGGAGACCGATGTCGATATTGCCATTGACGCCTGTGGTGTCTGTGCTTCCGACGTCCATACCATCACCGGTGGATGGGGAGATGACATCCCCCTTCCTCTCTGCGTTGGCCACGAGGTGATTGGCAAAGTCGTCAGGGTCGGATCCAAAGTCACACGCGTCAAGGTTGGAGACAGAGCGGGTATTGGAGCTCAAATCGGAGCCGATCTGACCTGCGGTAACTGCAAAGCGGACCAGGAGAATTACTGCGAGAACCAAATCGACACGTACGGTGCTAAGCACACTGATGGCACCGTTGCACAGGGTGGCTACTCCAGCCACATTCGTGGCAACGAGTATTTCGTCTTCAAGATCCCAGACAATCTCGACACTGCGCTCGCAGCACCCATGTTGTGTGCGGGTTTGACCACATATTCTCCTCTCAAGAGGTTGGGAGCTGGTCCCGGCAAAAAGGTTGCCATTGTTGGCCTGTACATACCACTGAAGCCACTATCTTAACATCAACTGACACTCAACAGTGGAGGTCTCGGCCACTTCGGTGTCCTCTGGTCGGTCGCCTTGGGCGCAGAAACCTATGTCATATCACACAGTGCCTCCAAAAAGAATGATGCGATGAAAATGGGCGCAAAGGACTTCATCGTCACCAACGAGAAGGGCTGGAACGAAAAGCACAAATTCAAGTTTGACTTTATCATCAACACGGCCGATGCTACTGACAAGTTTGATCTGTCAGCGTACTTCTCTACGCTCAAGGTCGGAGGAACCTTCCACATGGTAGGCTTTCCAGACAACCCGCTTCCTGCCATGCAGGCCCAGATCTTCGCTCCCAACGGTTGCTACATGGGCGCATCCCACATTGGCAACAGGCCGGAAATGGAGGAGATGTTTGAGCTTGCATCAAAGCAAAACATCAAGTCATGGGTCCAGGAGATTCCTCTGAGCGAAGCTGGTATCAAGGAGGCAGTTGAGCGTGTCTACAAGAATGACAATGTGCGATACAGGATCACGCTTACCAAGTTTGACGATGTTTTTGGTAAGAGGGCTTAAATCAAACGCTTGATACGAGTTGTAGCGCATTACGATACCAGATGAATGAATACGGAGTTTGAACACATGTTGAATACTCATGAAATTGTGTAGCAATATGAACATCTGATGAATGTGTGTGCTCGGCTTCCCACCCCTCCTTCGGGACGCGAGTGCCCCACCAAAAAGTCGCGTCGCGTCTTCCACCCCAAACTCTCTCCAGCTCGCTGTCATCACAATTGCTGACTAGAACTCACAAACCATCCCAATCCACCAACATGCCGTCAATACCCGTACACATCGCCCTCGGCCCCAATTCCACCCAGACTACTACCAACGAGAACCCGCTGCCCACGCTCCTCCACACGCCCACCGGCCTTGCCCTCCTCGAAATCCAAGGCACAGTCCACTTTCCTCCACCGCCCGCAAACGGACCAGCGTCTACGCAAATCGGCAAACTTGTCTTCCCACTCTACAATCCTTCTATCAATGACCCCGAAGACATCAAGTGGATGAAGCGTGTGTACATTTATGTTGGTAAAGGACAGAGAATGACGGGGGAGTGTAAGAAGTTGGCGAAGCCGATTGGCGTCATGCGAAAGAGAGTTGTTGCAGCAAGGGAGAAACTGGGGGAAGATGTGGAAATGGGAGAGGGAAACGATGAGGGGGTTGGGGCTGGCAACAGGGAGGCCGAAGAAGAGTTGGAGATTGTCGAGGTGGTGAGGTATAAGATTGTGTTTTCTGCGAGGCCCGAGCCGGTCAGTGGAGTTGTGGAGGCATGATTGCGCATCCTAGAGTGACCTCGGCCATGTGGAAAAAATTAAGCCTCTAAGTTAATCTGGGCGCCGATATTGTCTCCATTAAAGATACTATGAGGCCAACTTCAACCCTGGTTTCGGGTGCAGGAAGCATCGCTGGCTGATCTCGAATCACTTTAACCACTTTACGCGGCGCCACGGACCGACAATCATCTACCGCACAAACCAGATGCTGTCGCATCGATACAAGCCCAAAAAAATGACTTATAAGTCTGCACCGCCGTTTCTTGCGCGCAGTTGCATTCACGCAAATCTTTGTTCGGATCGATTCGATTCAAGATGCATTGTACCACAATCACGCTTCTGGCCTTACTTACTGGACAAAGTTCAGCCATCATTCAAGACTGGCAGCAATGTAAGCCCCTTTCTACGCCTCGTAACTGTGGATACTGACCACCATATAGGTGGTGGAAGTAATTGGTCGGGAGAAACAACATGTGGACTCAGTGCTGGTTGTGTAAAGATCAAGTACACTATAGACCTTCCGCAATCTTGTCTAACTTATATCTAACAATATGCAAGTGACTACTACTCCCAATGTCAACCAGGTGTGACTCATGAGCCACTACCACAACCCGATCCTGAGCCTGCTGTTGAGCCGCTTGAGCCGCAACCAGCTACGACTGTCGGTTCACCAACCCCAACAAACGCGCCTTCGAGCACCGGCCCAGGGACAACTCTACAAAGCGGCTACTACTGGATCCGCGCCGTCGCCGCCCCAAACTTCCACAAATACATACAGAGCTCGCCGCTCTACTCCCCTGGCCCCGCCCTCCTTGAATCCCACACCACGGCCGCCCAACTCCAAGTCGTCTCAGGCCAACTCGTCCAACTCGTCTCGGCCCCCGGCGAGCCCGTCAAACTGCTCTACGCTGTTGTTAACGAAACCCGCGTCATCAACGACATGTCACTCGCCGTGACCTTCTCCGAAAGCAAAAACACCTACGGCACATTTGCTTTTGGCGGCGATGACCTGCAGTGGAGTGTTGCCGGTGTGAATCGCCCGAACAAGAGCGCGTGGTATGTCTGTGCTGGCCAGCGATTGTACATTAATCTGGGGAACTATGCGTACGGGACACCGACGGGGTGTGCGGACCAGACGATTCATTACTACAACGACAAGTCTGCAAACGGCTAGAGAGTACGGTATGCACGCAGCGAATAGACTCCTGGGGAAGACATGCACGGAAACCAAGTGTAGAAGATGATGATGGATTGTAATCTAAACGTAAAGAGCGAATACAAGTACCAGTAACAGCAAGGCACCACGTGTTGAACCAGCACCAAGCTCCACCAATACAACTACCAAAATCAGATGCCCCCGTTGATCCCCCCAAAGAAAAAGCCGTTGCCAGCCACCCCATCTATCTCCCCTTCTTCGTACATCTCATCTTTCCCCCGACGCACCTATCCGCTAATTCAGACCGTCCAGCTTTCTAACAGAGAATCCTGTAGTGCGTCCTCGTCGTCAACGCCGTCTCGTTATGGCAGGTTGGGTTTCCAGGCGAGGGGAAACTGGTCTCGAGTCTGTACGCCAATGGCGTGTCTGTACATGTCGATGTTGCGTAAAAGTCGACTATATCACAAAGTAAGCAAGCAAACACGCAATTCATTAGCCTACTTCCAAAACCCCAACTCCCATCCCCCCCCCCCAAAAAAAAACTAAACAGGAGAAGAGAAAAAACAAAAAACATACCCTCACCCCGCGGACAATCCTGCTGACCAAAAATCTTCAAACCCTGCGGAAACGGAACACGGAGGGCAAAACACGTGTCTGGAATGGGGCCCGGAAAGACGTTTTGGTAGTTTTGTTGCTGGCAGGTTGCGTTGTCTTGGCAGTTTGGACAGTTCCAGGTGAGGAAGTTGAGGGAGGCGGCGGAGACGGTGGTGGAGGCGAGGGTGGCGCTGAGGAGGAGGGTGAGGGGGAGTTGCATTGTTGTGGTTGGGGTGGTTGTTGGTTTGTTGGTGGTGGGTTTGTTGGTGGATGTGAAGGTGGAATGAGAAGAGTGACTGTGTTTGCTGTCTGTTGATGATTGAAAAGATTAAAGGAGAGAAAAGGGCATCTTATATACTCTCGAGTAAAGTATTCAAGTATTCATTCTCCTATAATCAAAATGCTATATAGGACCTGCGTGCTCCCCGACTCGGTCATGAGGATGTTGGTTTTCCCTTGCACCGCCCTCGACCAAGTCTTGCTCACCAAACTGTTCAACACTGGTTTGGTCACGCACATGTCCAAGGCACCAACCCATTCGACAAATGGAGGTATTGGTATCGTGTTTTCGACCTCACGTGTGGGTTGGGACAGGCTTAGGTCGAACAGCTGACTTGAAATCGTTTGGCCAAGGGCGTTCGCACAGTCAGCGAACACGATCAGATTGGGGTATAATCCAACATTAGAATGCAAAATCGGTAACGACATCGGTAGAGTCACGGCTCGCTTATTCGCGGGTGTCCAACATTAGTGTTGTTCTTTTTGGTTCAACTTGATCATTGGCTCATCGAACACAAAAGTCTCTGTGACGGTAATGATCGGTATGTAGCCACATTGGGCGATTTTTATATGTATAAAGCCACAAAATGGATATCAATACTCCGCCCTTGACTCCACAAATCTGTAGTGTTCTCTACGAGAGTGCACATCCAGATGCCAGGCTAGTGCGGCCTTTATTGGCCGTCGTCTATAATAAAGAAATCTTGTCGTGAAAATCGAAGTCATTACCAGAAGCGGTAGTGGCGTAGAAAATTGGCCGAGTGCTTAGTTGAAGTCGTTAAGGTTGTGTAAGCTGATATCCTGACTGCTCGCAAATCGTCGCTGCTCGCAGTCGGTGTTTTTGTTGTCTAACGCGTTATTTGAGGAACCTTGACCGGCACCGTTTACCGGATGCCACTCAGGCGAGCCAGTCTCATCCGACGGGATGACGTTACCGTGTTGGTCGACCTCCTGAATAGCTGTTAGCCAAGTGAAGGTATAGCAGGCGGTGGTCAAGACTCACCACTCCCTTCGCAGCCATACGAATTTGCTGTTGGTCAGCAACACCGTTGAGGACAGCTTCCCGTGCCTTCTCCATGACCTTGTGCTTGCGGGACTCTCCTCGCACCCTCTCAAGGTGATCAAAGTAATCAGCATCCACGGGCGTGACATACTTGCCGCAGAATACACCGACCTCGAACTTTTGGGTCGCTGGATCGCGGGGGGATAGACGGGCACATGCCACTTCAAGATCATGAAGTGTTTGGTAAACCACATCATCCGCACCAATGTGCTTTGCAATAGCGGCTGAGTCACGGTGGTGGGCAATCAGCTCTGAAGATGATGCCAGATCGATACCGTAGATGTGCCTTCATTTCGAGTTAGTGGCTGTCAAGAAAACAATGGGCAATCAACGTACGCATTAGTAATGGGTGGCGCGCAGGAAGTGAAGTACACCTTCTTTGCGCCTGCCTCTCGTGCCATGAGCACAATCTCACGAGAGGTTGTCCCACGCACAATGGAGTCGTCCACCAGTAACACATTCTTGCCTTCAAACTTCTTCTTCATGGGGTTCAGCTTTGCCCGCACGCCCTTTTGCCGCAGCTTTTGCGAGGGCATGATGAATGTGCGGAAGATGTAGCGGTTCTTGACGAAACCCTGAACGTACGGCTTGTCGAGAGCTTCTGCAACACACAGCGCCGAAGTGATTGAGGTTTCCGGGATAGGCATGACAACGTCGATTTCAGCCATCCTCTCGGGACCAAGTTGGCGCTTGATGGTCTCGGCAAGCGTGAAGCCCATGTTGCGTCGACTCTCGTCGACATCGATTCCGTCAATGACAGAATCTGGACGAGCGAAGTAGACATACTCGAAGATATCTGGAGTGTAGGCTTCCTGTTTCGCAACCTGTCTAAATACAGGTTCCTTGCCCTTCTCAATGATAACGGCCTGTCCAGGGAGAATGTCCTGGAAGTCCTTGTAACCACACTGTACTAGAGCAGCACTCTCGGAAGCCATCATGTAGTCCATGCTCGTGCCATCTTGGGACTTGCGCGACCCGATGACCATGGGGCGGATGCCGTATGGATCGCGGAATCCGAGGAGGCCAAATCCTGTTCTTGATTAGTCATTGTCGATGGGTATACAAGTATATGACCACTGGAAGCAGACATGTGTGTTGTAGTCAGACATACCGGCCAACATAGCAGTGCATGCCCAACCACCAGTGCACAGTTTGTACATTCGTTCCAGAGCCGCAAAGCAATCGTCGGCGTTGATACGGGCCTTTCCAGTCTCATTGAGCTCGTCAGCAAAGATATTCAGCATCAGCTCGCTGTCGCTCTCGGTGTTGATGTGCCTGTGGGCTTCGTGGTCCAGACGTCGGCGAAGGGCGGGCGCATTGATGAGATTGCCATTGTGTGTCATGCAGATGCCGTAGGGACTGTTGACGTAGAAGGGCTGTGCCTCAGCATTTGCGCTGCTGCCAGCGGTAGGGTACCGCAGGTGGCCGAGGCCCATGAAGCCAGGCAGGTCGGAAACGCGGGCGCCGTCCTGGAAGACCTTGGAGGCCATGCCATTGCCCTTGCACTGGTGGAAGCGTCCACCCGTGCTACAACTGACGATACCCGCGGCGTCCTGACCACGATGCTGGAGCAGGTAGAGGGCATCATGGATCTCGACAGATGCCGACTGGGATTTGCTACGCTTCTTTAGCGCAAAGCTCAACAGGAGCATGTGCATGTGCTTACGGATCCCCATGGATCACAGCAATGATGCCACACATTCTGACGTATAGGTCAAGTGGATGTAGGGTATCAGGTTGAGGTTGGAATTATCTAGAGCAAATCCGTTAGCCAGCGATATCGGTCGCGGAAAGACGGCAATCTCAGTAGTGGGGGTTTCAATCTCAGAAAGTCTTTTGGCGCTCATTCTGTGAAGTCGCAAGTCTAACATCTAAATAATATGACGGTCTCATCATTGTGGAGGGGTGACAATCGCACAAAACCGCGTTTTCACTCACCTCGAGCGCGTCCAGTTACGGGGCAGAAGTAATCAAGTGTCCGAATAGGATGTGAGTTTGGGAAGAATCACGCGGCCGGCGACGGCTAGAGGGACAAGTCCATGCACAGACTGCTGACTGTTTATGCGCTTGTTCGCGGTGGGAACAGAGACCCCAATACTGCTAACGGCGTGCGGGGACATTTTTGGGAGTTTTGGATATTTCGACGTTCGGGTCTTCTGAATAGAAAATTTCTAGACACACGTGACATCCCGGACTTTGCACGCCGTCTTCCGCGCCTTACCGCTCCCAGCCAACATCGATGCCTTTCCGGCTTTGCCGATGTTACCGAGAGGATGCACCATCGTCGTGATGGATCATGATCTTTGCTTGACGTCTATTGTGCACTACTCTACCAATACCGGTACCGGTATTGCCTCGTCTAACACCATGAAGTTACTTACCTACTGCTGGAGCACATGTGTCGTCCAAGGCCGCACACTGCCCGTCTCCAACCGCACAACTCTATATCCTCATGAAGTAGCCATCCTAGTACTATCTCTTTAGGAATATTCGCACTGAATACCCTGCTTTCGTCTCTGAGACGTACGCTTCCATGTCATTCTAGTGCTGAACGGGAACTGTTCACACACAATACAATGCGAAAACGGTACTTTCAGAGAGCATCATGTTGTACCGGTATCCCCAACTACAAATGTACATGAATCGAAGCAATCAAAACTTTGACATAGGCAACGACTACATCGTCTATGCCTTGCGATATACAAATCCCACCTGATCCAACTCATTCCCGGCGCGGCCCAGGAATCCAACAATACTCCACCCACGCTCGGCACTTCTTGTATCGCAATCATTCGTCTTTACACCCTTTGTCACTTTTCTTCCTGCGCTCGTCGTCATCTCAGCATAGAAAATCCGCGTCTTGTTGTCCCTGTTGCCACGGCACAAGGTCGATCCAGTAAGTGTCTCTCCTGCGTCCAAGGTCAGAGTCGTCTCTGTACCGCCAGTTCCGCCATGTGATAGTTTCTGGCCAGACGAGAGCGTGAGTAACATTGCATCGACACGATCTTGCCCGCGCAGACTGATAGAAGAGACCGTGGGACTGTCGATGCCAGCAATGGTATCGAGGTCATTGTACCAGTTGCCAGACTCGCCACCAAATGTATCTGATATGCGAAGGCGATCACTCTGCGTCCATTCAAAGTCAACGAGTACGCCGTTGTGGTCGCTCAGCACGTTGCCATCATCTTGCAGGAACATGTCGCCAGCATACTGGAATCTCTTCGCCTTGAGCGTGAGGGCAGGTGAGCCGCGGTACCAAGTCTTGTCTACAATCTCACATGTAGCGTTTGGTGATGGGTTGTCGCAGAGTAGTGCGGGTGTATTTGGCGCTGGTGGGTTACCCTTGCGAATGTGCTCAACCCAGGCATCTGTCATACCGTTTTCATCCTTGAAAACGAAGGGAATGTCATCCTTTCGCGTATAGCGGGAGTTCGAGTCTCCGAACACAAGGACGGCATTTCCTATGGAGCGGCTCTTGATATAGTCTGAGACTTGGCGGAGATTGGATGCGCGGGCTGTGTTGTCGGCTGTTGTCGTGCTGCGAGGTTTCAGTTAGGAAACGTGCGGCTTTGAGCACATGGAGAACGTACCCAGCATCAGCGTGAAGGTTGTACGCATCGATCCAAACACCGGCGGCGAGCTTGACGCGCATAAATGTAAAGCCTTTTGGTGTGAGACAATCCGCTGAACTATCATTAGGTGAACGATTAGCATTGTACGATACGATTGCTAGAAGTTACTTGTGCAGGACGGCTATAGTCACTCACTCTGTGTTACTGCAATCATTCCATTTCACCCTCTCGAACGCAGCAAATTCATAGTTGCTCAGTGTGTTCAGTCCGCTACCAATTGGTACACCACCGCTTGTCGGCGTCCGGAATGGGTGCTTGTCATTTTCGTACAGGGTAGCGTGGTAATTGAAGTCCTCTTGCACGTGGATCAGAGAGATGTTGTAGCGCGTGAACAGTTGCCCAATGCGTGCGGTATTTGCGGTCTTGTCGCCAGGGACATCGTTGCCGTTTAAAACAGCAGGCAGACCAGCGACATTGAAAGTCAACGTGTTGAAAGTTCCAGAGTCTTGGGCAAAAGCATGGCTTATTGATGCTGTAAGTGCAGTGACGGAAAGTAGCGACCGCATTTTGGGAGATCTGATGGAATACCTACCGGTACCGTACCTACGATTCTGTCCTGTGTATGTACCTCAGCAACAAACTCTCTCCATACACAATGTTGCTATTCTCATACGCGACCATGTGTCTAAAGGACAGATTGTTTCAATGCGCCAGGCTTAGAAAGGATTGGTTTCGTATAGACGTCATAGGCCCCCGCAAGTAATAGTCCAAGGGGCAACCATGTGTTTTGACATCCAACGCAGATTTACTATAATATATTGCGACCAGCATCAGGCCCGGAGTGCTTACTGTGTCGGAATGTGACATCCATGCAAATAGGTCGATGGGGTTAGCGTCTCCGTGTTCGTGGCCGTATGAGCCGGTACAGATAGTTACCCTTAAGGGCACTTGTCGCGCATAGAAATGGTGGATTACAAACACAGCGACTAACTGTATTTTCAGTAGACATGGGATCAACTTGCATTCAATTAGAGGCGAATAGAGCATGGCACATGTGTCTTCCTATATTACATTTCTGGTTTTGCTGGATCTGCATTCGTCCTTCAGCATGCGTAATTCGAGAGGAGGATCTTGATGCTAGGTAGCTGTCAAGTCTAATGTTGACTATCTTCAATCTCTTGCGACCAGTATATTTCATATGTCCAATTATAGCTTGAATGTGGTTTAGAAGCTCGCCGCCGACCACGCCAATTCGGACGCCACTTCAACCTTGTGCAGCGCTTGAACAATAGGAAACCAATCTGTGGTTAAGGAAATATGATTCAGAGGAAATGAAGAACATCATTAATGTGCGATTACGAAGATAGTATTGACACAGGTCATCTGATACATGTACATATATAGAAATCGCACCTTTAACCTACTCCTACTAAATCTACATAGTACTGTCTCAAAAGAACAACATGATAACACAGAATTCTCTGACATGTACGCACCAAGCCCACCCTGGACCTTCTCTAGCCCACTCTACAGTTCCAAAACAACACGCCCCTGCAGCTTCTGCTCATGCATTTCCTGAAACACCTCTGTCAACTTCTCCATCTTTTCCGTCCGATAGTGCGTCTTGACAATGCCCCTGGCCGCAAAATCCATCGTCTCAATCGCCTCCTTTCTACTTCCCACCGCAGACCCCATAATCTGCAGTGACTTGCCCACGAATAGTCCTGGGGACGCACTCTTTATCGGGATCGCCTCGCCCTCGGGAATACCAACACATACCACCCGTCCATCAAATCGCAGCAGTTCCGCAGATTGCGCATACGCATTATTATTTGCCGTGCATACAATAGCAGCATGCGCACCGAGTCCGTTGGTGAGTGCCTTGACCGCCTCCACCATATCCTTTGTACCGTCTACGGGGATGAAGTGCTCCGCTCCGGATTCAAGAACAATGTCCTTTTTGCTCGAATGGTCGATGCCGATGACGCGGTGGCCAATGGCTCTTGCGCTGAATTGAACTGCCAAATGTCCCAGTCCGCCTCCAGCCCCTGAAATGATGACCCATTTCCCCGATTCCACGTTTGCCTTGCGAAGTGCCGCGTAGACAGTCAAGCCTGCGCAGAGAAGCGGTGCGGCGGCGGCCGAGTCCAGGCCGTCGGGAATGGGGGTCACGTAGTTGGCGGGGGAGAGGACGTACTGTTGGAATGTACCCGGGGTGTAGTAACCCGATATTTTCTGCGGTGCTGTCAGAGATCCCGATTCTTTGCAGATGATAGATCGGATAGACGTCAACTTACGCCGCTGAAGCAATGCGCATCCATTCCCGCTCGACAAGCCTCACATGCCTCGCAGACACCAGCCATCCACTTGATGCCGACACGGTCACCAACCTTGACGGCGGCATTGTCGGTGCCCGGTCCCATCTTGACGATCTTGCCAACTCCCTCATGGCCACCGACTTGGCCTGCTTGCGTTGGGAAGGGGAGTATGCTCCAAGCGTTCATCATGACGCCCATATCGGAGTGACAGACTCCGCTATGTGTCAGGTTGATGAGAACCTCCCCTGCGCCTGGCTCAGGCATATCCAGTTCCTCAATCTTGGTAGAGATTGCTCCTGGCTTGTCGTAGACTACCGCCTTGTACTTCTTGGGCAGCTCGGTAGTCGCCATAGTGAATGAATGTATTAGGTGGTGAAGATTGCGTTGTCTGCTGTCTTCTGCGTCAACACGTGTAGTCTGGGCTCCAAGGTATCTATCCGATGTATAACAGCTCAACTGGTTCACTCGGTTGAAGCAGAAGAAACAATATGACCACCCAACTGCCAGATGATCGAGAATCAGGAGCCCACCTCCATATACTGGGTCTACCGACCCCTCCCGACTCCTCCTCCTGCCCCTCACCCTAAGCCGCCCTAGGCTTGTCTACGACACCCTAGACTGCAGATAACCTACCCCACCATAAGCCGAACAGTATGATGTGAAGTCAACACTATGTAGGCTATACACCCGGACACGAGCAACAACTTTCGTGTCATTCCGAGCCCCATTCGTCAGGACTTGTGATTCTTAGAGTACAGAGCTATGTGAGGATAGACCGAGACGTGGGGTAGGTTATGCCAGACTCCAGAGCCGAGGCGCGTGGATACCGGCTCGAGAGCTACGTTACCGTATCGGTACCCCGCCCTCATTTGACCCCAAGAGTCGAAGCCTACCACGTCAACACCGGACAAGGGCACGGCTGGGAATGCGGAGAAAGATGATGCCGTAGGGTACCACGTCATGTCGAATGGCCCACCGTATGCAATCGGAACCACTCAAGGACAACTGGCCAATTCGGTCACGAGAGACCAGGAAAGACACACAGTACGTTGCCAGGACTGAACCGACACGGCAATGTACGCACCAGGGGAATCGGCAATGGGTGACGTGAATCAAGATTCAGAGGTAGCAATCAATGTATTTGCAGATTATGATACATACTGTGAACCCTGCCTGTCATCTACAAAACCACAGTAGCCTCCAGCAAATGTGAATATGCCCACTACGCCGACATCAAAGTGGTATCATACAGGACAGGTATTGTCCGCTTAATATGCATTATTGGCGCGAAGATTGTACCCAGCCAAACTCCAAAGTCCCGAAGTTATTCCCTTCAGGCCCGCCCAAGTTATGTGCTTCTCGTCTAATTCATTCCACATTTGCATAAATTTGTCCCCAACAACCAGACCGGGCATCTTGCGAGGGGTGTCATGGAGCTCTTGTGCTCCTAAGCGCCTTGATTGGTAATGAACTTGCTGATGAGCAGCTCGTCTGCGCTCGGACGCTTCTCATGGTCGATGAGGAAGGTCTGGGCTAGGAATGTCCGAGCATCATCACCAGCGTTCTCCGGAATGGTCGGGCTGGCATCACCACTGCCGCCAATCTTGAAGATGGCTTGTAACTGTGTGCAATTGGGGTGGGGGTGGCTTCCGGTGAACATCTCGACGACGAGACATCCGAGAGACCAAATATCAGCCTTGCGCGTGTAAGCCGTCTGTCTGACCACTTCAGGTGCCATCCAGAAGACCGAGCCCTGAAGGGAGACGCGCTGTGCTCCCTTCTTTCCGCCTCCCAGCGTGGAAGCTTCAATACGTTTGGAAATGCCGAAATCCGAAATCTTGACGGAACCCTTGTTGTCCACGAGAATGTTTGCGCCCTTGATGTCGCGGTGGATGATATCTCGTGAGTGAAGGTATGAGAGACCAGTGAGAATCTGGCGTACGAAATTCTGAATGAGTGATTCGCCCAAAGGACCATAATTAATCAACATTGTAGCCACGGAACCACCTGGAACGTACTCAAGGAAAATGTTGAGGTGGCTGTCGTCCGAGTTTGACCCGAGGTACTGCACAATGTTCTTGTGCTTCAGTTCGCGTAGTAGGCCAATCTCATGCTTCAACGCCTCTACCATGTTCGATTTCTTGTGGTCCATCTGGGAAGCACCAGTGACGGAAGGAAGCTCTACTTGCTTGACAGCCATGAGCTCACCTGTCATAGCATGCAGTGCCAGATAGACACTGCCGAAAGATCCCTGACCGATGAGGGCACCCTTCATATATTTGACATTGTCCCAAGAATCTTTTTGAAGGTATTCTGCCAACTCTTCGTCGGACTCTTCACCATCATCAGCAATGGCTTCTGACAGACGCTTATTAAGCGAGTCACCATTCTCGGTGTTACTGTGACTACTGCCTGCAAGACTACTGCCGCCATCGTCAAAATAAGATTGCAAAGTAGTGTTACCGTCCGGATCAGTAATGGCGAGTGTGTCCGAGCCGCTGCCGTCGCCAAATGAAACATATGACTTGCGATTTGGTTCAAGAGGGGACTCTTCATCGAGAGGTTCCAGCACTGAAGATGCCATCGAGTCTCGGTAGCCCGACTGAGAGGGCAAGCCAAGCCGCATGACTGAAAGTGGACGGAGAGGTCGGGCCTGATTACCACTCTGTAGCCAGCTGTCCGCGATCGAAGGCAAAGGTGGTGCGTCTTTCAAGCTCGATGCAACACTGAAGTTTGAAGCCATCGACAAGCGGGACGCTGCTCGACTGAGGCGGTTAGACCGGCGAACAGACATCCGGACAGTCTTGTCGATCTCCTCCTTCCCAACGTCTGGGAAGTATGAAGTCAAGTCCGAAGTAATCAGCTCACTTGGAGGCCGGGCACCGTAGAACTGCTTGAGTTTCCGGGCACGGGCATGGAACACTGGCGACCTCGATGCCTCACCAGGTCCTTCCAAATTCTGTGCGGTCGAGTTGATGTGACGTTCACGTTCTCTTGCGGATGTTGGCGAGAGAGGGTAGCTAACAGCAGCAAGCGATTCACCCGTGAGTTTCTCGATTTTGATCTGACTGCGGTTGCTCGTCGGTAGATAGATGTTACTGGAGTTTTGTTGGTAATTTTGTTGTTGGTAGATACCAGCAGCTGCCTTGAGTTGGTCTTCCTCAGGCTCACCTGCATGGACCTTACGCAGAATCAGGCGTCCACGCTCATGTCTATTCGCATCTTTCACGAGACGGTAGACTTCCATGTCACTCAGGCGTTCGGTCAAAGAAGGGTCCGGTTCCGAGCTGTTCAGGATATAGAAACAGTAGTTCTTCACATGGGCAATGTTGAGATGTCCTTTTGTCAAGGTTTTCAACATGACCTCTTCGGCAGACTTGCAGCCTTCGATATTCACGACAGAGGTTCGACCCCCATCATAAATGACCCTGACAAGTGCTTTGTCTTGTGGTAAAATGGCACTGTTCGTAGCACTATCTACACTTGGCGCTCCTCGTACGTGATGGGCGAATCGTGCTGTCTGAGGTGTTTCGGTCGGAGTAGATCGTGGGTTTCGTCCATACTGGGATGAGATGTTGGCTGAGCTACTTGATGCACTGAGCGGATGGGCACCATACGCAGATGCAGATTCCTTCTTGCCATTGTCCTTGGGGCTATTAAGACCTCCTTGCCGTTGTGACCTTATGGCTCGAGAATCTTGTTCCACTAGTGGGGAGCCGGGTCGAGATGCGGATTTGGTGCCGTATACATAATTGCTTAGATCCGAGTTGGTGATCTGTCTGGACATGCGCTTTTCGGATCGAGAGCTGACAGGAGGATTTGAGCGCGCCGAGTGCAATGGCCGAGGTGATCCTGAGGAAGGAGGAGTATATGAGGAATTGTCTAATGTGGCAAGTGATTGCTAAAGAGTGTCAGCGAATATTGGATAGCATTAATAGAGGTTGGCTTACTCTATTCGATGTCCGCCGCGACGCTTTCTTGTACTCTTTGTTGCGCAATTGCTTCGCCTGTGAGCCGATACGGACGCGGTCACCAACCTTCTTGATACCCATATCTTTGAGGTGAGTCTGGTCCATTTCCATAAGATTCTCGCCATTGATGTGATTGTCTAGGGTTGTTAGTATGGAACATTACGTCAGTTTGGTTGGCGTACGTTTGAAGAGGTCGACGTATTGACCACAGTTGATACGCTTTAGCCAGTCGGCGACTTTGTCCTCATCCCAGTGTCTATGTCATCAGTACATGCTCACAGAAAGAAGGATGATGCAGATAGCCTACCTGATGGCATCGGGAGCATCGTAAATCTCCGAAAATTCTGACTCGGTGGGTGAAGCAAACATGGTGTGCTCTGCGCGCGCATTCGATGCATGTGTGCGGTAGTTGGAGAGGTTGGGATTGTACTGCGCTGCTGACTGGGCGGATCCTCCACCCATGGACGGCGCGGGATATGGAGACTTGGAGGCCAACATGGCCATTATACACTATTTGGTGCGTGTGGGGGTGACAGGCGGTCGACTATCGTTTCGCTCGCCTTTGATGCTATCTCATAAGCACATGATGGGGTCGCGCGTTGTTTGTTCGATCTGGTTGATGAAGTGAAGCGATGATGGCGTGTTGTGGTGAGCCAGCCAGTCGGAGTCGTACAGTAGGCGTACAGTGATGAAGAAAACCGGCCTGTATCGCGCGAGAGAGTAGTATCCGTGTTCAAACGCCTGTAGTAGACTCTATCTACACGTCGACAAGCGTAGTGGGACGGCTTTTCTTGCGGGAGACCAAGCTAAGGCGAGTGCAGGTGGGGAGGGGGGAAGAGAGAGTCTCCTATAGAATCTAGAAATTCTACTCCGCCGCTCTTGTGGTGCAATATGTCTGGGCTCTGGCCCCAGAGGAGTGAGGCTGTGTGCGAGACAGAGAACAGACGTTCGAAGCTGAAGGGAAACGACGGAGCCAGATCAACGCTGTAGACGCCATTCTTTGGTGGCCATGATGAGCTCGCACGGATGTGAGACGCGCTAGGGGAGCACTAAGGACAATTGCAGTTAGGCTGGTTTCAGATGCAGGCCGTGCCAGCGTCACGTGCCAGTCCACACACCTCAGGTAGTCACTAGTGCTGGACCCTGCCCAGGTGAAGGTCTCGGCACGATCCATGACCACATGTTCCATATTCACAGTCAATAGATGTCGACTTGGGCCTGAAGAGAGAGGGAGAGAGAGAGAGGGAGAGAGAGAGAGAGAGAGAGAGTGTGTGTGTGTGTGTGTGTGGAAGAGGGAGAGGGAGAATGAGAAAGACAGCAGCAATATCTTGCCCATGTACTGACACGTACTATCCAACAACCTTTCGTACCTACTCTAGCCATCGAATCGCTGCCAAGCCATTTGTTTCGACACTTTTGCCGTCCCAGACACGGTACACCCATGTCGACATCCAGATTGTACATACATACATGATGTACTATGCCACTACCTACATAGTAGGACTCGGAGCAGCCCTCAAGAGTCAACATCATCCGCATTGTCGGGTTTTCGACAATTTGCTCGTTCTGATCCCCTCTGGTGCGAACTGGGCCTGACCTTGCAGGCGCGTAATCAACCTGTCGCAGAAAAGCCTACAGAATCTCATTACAGCACAGGTTGACAGCTCTCTAGCCGCCGTAGGCTCAACTGTTGTGCCTCCCTCATGCGCTGCCTTTCATATCCCTGCATGTTGTTCCCAATCTTGCCGGATGTTTGCCTTGAATTTCGAAACATCATGCAAGCATGTCCCTGACAGCGCCGCAGCCTTGCCAACACAACAATGGTACCTAGACAAAATATAACCCGCTTACACAACAAACAAAAGCTCTGAGCATATGAGAGCGTTCAAGGTTACATGCGAATAAGCCAAAGTAAAGAGGTTGCTGATCTACTGGAACCAAACGAGCGCTCTTCATTATCGGTACCTGGTACCGCCAGTAGGTAATGGTTGCAACTTATCATCCTGGGCGGGTACCGTAACGCTTCAGAGCTGTAAGCGCATGACGTAGCCCACAATGAGAACAAGGCATCGTCTTCCTTCTCTGTTCACGTGGGGATACACCTAGCAAACAGGCAAACGTTTTACGGCTCATCGTTGTCAGGCGCATGGCTTGTCTTCGCTAAGACATTCTATTTTTCGTCTTTTGAAAATCTTTCAAACTTGCACGGACTATATGTAATGACACCAGGACTTACTGATATGCGCTCCGCTTCGCAATGGCCGTCCATTGACAAAGCGCACTAGGTCAACCACGTCATTGAAACTCTGTCGTCTATTGAGCAATCATGACCCAACGCTACGATCGACGAGCTCCAAACGTTGGATCCAACGGCAACTATTCGCAGTGTAATGTCACATATGTTTATGACTAGCATCGCTACAGCGTACGATATATCATACAATCTCGATCATAGACCAAATTCAACTACAAGGTCCACCTCAGCCTCTTAAGGACGTGATTGGGAATGTCTTGAGAAGTCTGATGCTTCAAGGACACTCGATCCAGAGCATATGCTCACATTACCACCGCAATTACAGATGAAATCAGCTCCAGTCGGTTGGCTAGTACACCGTCATCACAGACATGGCTGGCCTGTGTCACCGCAACAGCATGTGCCCCAACCGCCCGCATCCTGAATTCCTCCTCGTGACGTCTATACGCCTCCATCGCCTCAACATACAGACACTCCTGTTCAGCCGTCTTTCATGTGAGTTGAGTCATCACGCGATAGTGACGGGGCACGACATTGCGCTGATACCTCCATAAAAATGCAGAGTGGCCCGTGACCACCATCGTAAGGCTACAGCACTAAGTGGGCAAGGGTTCTGATTAAGATCTTTATCTGCACCCTTGGAAATGTCTCACACCATTTGTAGCCTGTTACAATGTAGTTAACAAGAGTCAAAACTTGAGTCAAATGCTGATCATCCAAAGGTCAAGCGTGTAACGACGCAGGTAAGTAGGGCATCTATAGGCTAGTAAATCTAGGTTAGTGTACACTAGCTGTGGTACTGGGTTAGGTTTAGGTTGCACAGACCTAGTGCTTAGGTTAGGTGTAGGTCGCACAGACCTAGTGCTTAGGTTAGGTTTAGGTCGCATAGGCTATAGGCTTAGGTTAGGTTTAGGTTATATAGGCTATAGGCTTAGGTTAGGGTTAGGTTATATAGACCTAGTAGTTAGGTTAGGTCTTATATACGTAGATATTAGTTAAGGTTATATAAGTAGTATATAGGTTATAGCTATTCTTATAGTTATATATAAAATATACTATATATAGAACTCTAAAATAGTATTATATCTTTTTATTATAGCTATTAATTATAGTAATATTATAGCTTTTAATATTTATATAGTAGAGGTTTAGTATACTCCTCTACTAATATAGGTATAGTATTCTTAGTTACCTTAGAATCTTCTAAACTACTAGAAATTAGAACCTCTTATCCTTTAGCTATCTCTATATTTAGTTACCTAAAGCTAGCTAGAAGCTTAAAAAGATCCTTTATAATATTATTTAATATAAACTTACTACCTATTATAATAGAATCCTATTCCTTACTAGAAATAGTATATTTAAGAACTATAAGCTACTAAATTATCTATATAGAAAGGTAGTACCTCTAGTTCCTAATAAGGTCCTTACTAGTATTAAATACTCTTTTAATACTAACCCTTATAATCTAGATAGGTAGAATATTATATACTGCCTATATAAGTTAGTATAGAAATCTAGATTACTAAGGTTAGGAATAATTTAGGAGATAGATTATTAGATTATATCTACTATAATCGTACTTATATATATAGAGCTTTAGCTACCCTTACTAGAAGGTAAATAATTAGTAAACCTTCCTTATTAGAGCTCCTGCTTTTTATTAGGCACTTAGTAGTAAGCTAGTAGTTAATTAGATAGTAGGTTATACAGGGGTATTAATTAGGATTAATTAGATTAAGATACTCTATAATCTAGTTAATATCCCTCCTATAACACACCCCCTAGGTATAGGTAGATCTTTTATTATTATAGTTACGCTTATAGTTAGTAGATAGTATAGCTAATTAAAGTATTATATATCTAAAGGGTTAAATTAGCTTACCCTTTAGATACTAACTAGCACGCCTTCCTTATTTAGCCTACGCTTACACGCGTAGATATTATCTAGACTAAGCTCTATAACTCTATCTACCTAACTATAATCTTTACTATAGCTTAAATTATAAGATTATATAACCTTAAAGGTCTAACTATACTTATATCCTTACTAACCTATATCTTAGTTAAAGTTAAAAACTACTACTTACGCTTACTCTACCTATACTACCTTTATTACCTCCTACGCTACTAAAGCTGTAACAATAAGGCAGAATTGCCTGCCCATTGTTCCATGCTAAGTTAGGCCCAATAAAGGCCTAACTCACTAATATATATAGAGAACAGCTCGCCTATAGTTAGGATAGGTATATTCTTCTTGTCCTTTTATACAAGACCTATAGGTGTAGGAATCTTATCCTTTTCTATATAGACGCGCACTCCTATATACCTTTAAGTTATATAGGATACCTTTTAGATACCCTACCTACCTAAGTTATTATATTATAAGAAGAATATCCTCCTAGCTAGTAATAGTATTTAAGAATATCGCACTTATTGTTATTTTAAGCTACTAATTTAGTTCTAGTAGCTATCTAACCCTGCAACACTACAGTTAGAATAGCTATTAGAACTTCTAATAACTAAAGCCTATAGGCTTAGACTTCTAGACCTATAGGTAGTGCTAGATTACCTTTAGAAAAATCGCGTTAGATTATATTAAGGTAGAGACCTAGAGACTACTAAAAGCCTAGAGGAATTAGAGGCAAAGCTAATATCCTCCTATAACTAAACCCCCTAAAAAGAAAAGATTTATTATTCTTATTAACTACAAAATGTTAAACAAAGGTAAAGGAAGGGTATCTAGTTTAGCCGCGTTTAAAAGCCTATTTACTAATAGAAAGAAATTAGATAAGGAAGACTTAATTAATAACGCCCTCCTTAAAGGACTTACTTCCTATTTATCTCTTAAGGTACCTTATGCTCCTAAGAAATCTTAAAGTAACACCTCCCTTAAAGATAAATACATATTAACCCTATCTAAAAAGGAGAGGTTAGAGGAACAAGTTAAGCAACTTACTAATTAGTTATATAACACCTCCCTCTATAAGGAGATATAGGGTACTACTTAACCTAGCTAGTCTTTAGCTTTTATATTAAACCCTATAGTATATACTATAAAAGCTAAGAGATAATCTAAAAAGACGCTAAATATCTCTATACTTAGTAATAGTGCTAATCCTACTTTTAGATAATAGCAAGTATCTATTTAGGATAGGCTAGAGATTAACGCTAATTACTACCCCTCTTCTAGAGCTTAGATAGCGTTAGTCTAGGGACACTACTTAGGACTAGTAAGAGAATACTTAGAGCCACGTTACCTATCTAATTCCCTAAGTCTTTAATTCTAAAAAGCTAAGGAAATAATTACCCTCCTTTAAACTTACTTTATTACTAGAAATAAGATAGCTAAGAGTTAGATTATATTTAACCGCCTATATATAACTAATATAGAGATATTCCCTACTTTTAAGTTATAATTCTAGAGTCTTGCTATTAAAGGAGAAGTACCCTAATTAGAGTAGTATTACTACCTCTAGATAAAGATTACACCTTCTCTAAGGATGCTAAATCTTGCTTTCTAATAGAATTAGCATAATAATTTTAAGACTATAGTAGATTATCTTACTACTTTTAATATAGAACGCCGCCTATACCCTACCTTATCTACTTTTACCTAGACTACTCTATTATCTAGAAAAGGACTAACCCCCTTCTAATACTCTAGAAACTAGTCTTATTTAGACGCTAATTAGAAACCCTATAATAGACCTTTAATAGCTAAACCTTATATACCCTACTTATAATAATAAGGCACTACCCCTTAAAATAATTAACCCCTATCTACTATGCTAGCTACTCCTAGCGCTACTATAACAGGAACCCTAGTAAATTGCTATAATTATAGAAAGCCTTGGCACTTCTCTAGTAACTACCCTAAACCCCCTAGGATTTAGGCTATAGATATAGAACAGGTTGTTAAGAATTCTAAGGAAGAAGAAGCTACTAAATTAACTAATTTAGATAGCTATTAGACAGGAAATAATAACGCCTAGAAGGATCCTCCTTCCTAGGCCTAACTTAATATAACCTATTAAACCTTTCCTTAACTAAATTATTTATTAGTTCCTATTTACTTACACGTATAACCCTATACCTTAATAGATCTAGTGTTTGCCTAAACGCTTTAGTAGATACTAGGGCCTAAGGTTACTTATTTCTTAATTTAAAAATTGCTTATAACATCTCTTCTACACTTAGGGTACCTATCTAAAAGCTACTATACAAGCTTACTATTAAAGGGTTCTAGGATTAGATTACCTCCCTAGTTACCTACTATATTTAGCTTTATATAATAGTTAGTAGCTAAAAGGTTTATAACTGCCCCTTTATAATAGTAGACTTAGGTTCTTAGGATTATATTATTAGACAATACTAGCTAAAATAGTTCTAAATCCTAATTAATACAGATAAATCTTAACTAATCTAGCTAGAGAAATATCCTCTAACCTATAACCCTGCACCTCCTATTCTAGTACAACTCTACTAGCAAGTGCTGTCTACTCTAGTTACCTATAATATCTTGCAAAGAGACGCCCTTTAGGATTAAGAGGAGAACTAGAACTAAAACAGTCCTAGTTTAATTAACAGGATACGTAGTATACTTAAAATTCTAGCTACTTATAGGGCTACTACTAAACTAATTACGCCACCTACCCTAGTCTAATTGCTAACTATTACCCTACCTGCAAAATTCTAAATTACTACTATTTCTACTAATACTTTCTATTTTAATATAAAAAAATCTTCTAATAAATTCTTTACTACTAGCCTATATAAGATTAAGCGTAGGATCTAAACCTTATCTAAATAGGACACTCTTAACTATAGCTTATTAGATTAGAAGCTCCTATCTAACTATCCAACTTCCTCATTACGGACGTCTTTAACAAGGCTAAGGCTAATAAACTTCTAATTTACTAGCCTTATAACTATAAGATAGTCCTAGAGGAACCCCTTCTAAACTACTAGAGTCCCCTCTATTATTAAAATACTAAGGAACTCTAGGCTACTAA